CCTTTTCAGCATGTTTTCATGATATATAAGAATAGCTGCGCATTCACTTTCAGTGCAAATGACCTCGTTTGACCTTGACCCCGAATGTCTCTAAAACGCCCCAACAGCGGACGGATTACCACTCGGCAGCGCATTCTACGCAAAATTCTACTCTAGAAAAGTTGGGTCTGGTTTTGTGCCCATTTGATGGACCCCCCCCCCCCCACACATACACACACACACACACCGAGCCTCCAGACTATTAGTCCGGACTTAAACTTAATTAAACATCTTTGGGATGGAATTCAGAGGTGACTTAATAACATTGTACCGAGGCAAACAGCCGATGGATTGCGACAGGCATTTCTGAGAGTGTGGTTCCAGGTGCCAATGGCGGTCATCAATCGTCTGGTCCGCTCCATGTGCAGACGCTGCGCTGCTGTTATTGACACTCACGGTGGACACACTAGACACTGATATATAGACTGTGTACAGACTCTAAACCTTCTCGTAATGTCTTGGAATTGTGGTCAAATAATCACTAATATGTCAACATACTGTTCAGAAAAAATTGCTTTGATCCATTTAGTAAGTCGCTTTCTAGAATGATTTGGTTAAAGTGCCTCTCTGATTTTGAAATCGTACTGACGGTTTTGGGGTGTTTTTTTTGCTGTTTAGAATACATATATATGTTAATTAATCCACAGGGTTAATCTGAAGGCGGATAAAGTGACCCTGGTTAGTTCTACTGTCACTACCTTTTTTGTTCAGACCCATTCTGACCCATTATGCACACGGAGAACTATTTACTATGAGATTGGAGCTCTGTCCTGAGTGGTCGCCATGTTGAAAACAGAAAACATTATAGACTAAATAAACATATTCCAATTTCATTAAACTTAAAGCAGAATAAATACTAGAAGTAACTTAGTGTTTCGACTGAAATCGTGAATGTTGGAATATTTAAAATATCGGTCAACTTGCTTCGAGTCTGTTTAGGGGGGGGGGGGGGATGGTCGAATGGTTAGCACGTGCGCGCTGTATCATAAGGTCTGTCATTGAGTCAACTGGCGTGGTTTTGTTTCCCCGGTTGTACGTCACATGAAGTAGGGTTGCCTGTCGAACCTCGTGGGTTTTCTCCGGGTCCTCCGTTTTCCCCCCACTGCTAAAGACCCCTACGCGCAAGCGAATTATTGAAATAAAATCAAACCATTATGTTAGTCCCGAAATGACCTAGTTTGTGTCGAGTGGACGTTAAACCCCATTTCTCTCCTCCTCTCGTGTCTGTTTTTAAGAAAGCTAATTGTAGACAGACAGCGTAAGTTGTGTATGATTCTGGCTCACCCATTGTCAATTTAGGCCTGTAATGTTTTCTAAATTATTAATTAGACATTATATAACTTATCCAGGCCATAATCAACTCGCGATGTCATCGTTAGCCAGTGATATTTACTGGATTTGAATACATTTTGTGACGGATGATTAAACACAAAAATGGATAATCGAGACTTTGTTTTTTGATCGTATCGACTTCAGTAATGATAATCGAGGTTAGCCTCAAATTCAAAGGCTAATATCTCGGTTCAGAGAGGAGCAATTTTTTTTAGCATATTCTATTTATCTATTTTTTAATAACTATTATTGCGAGAACTGTCAACTCTTTTTCTAATCTTCCATAATGACACTATATAATAGGATAGTTAAGCGAGATTTTATTTCTATTCGACTTGTATGTGGAGTATTTTGAGATAATAATAAAGCCCTATAGTGAAGCCCTATTTCATAATGGAAATATCTAACGAATAATTTCTGCGACCTTCTGTTGTTAAAGTCTCGATGAGCTATTTTAAAGATGCATTATGTAAGCTGATCGTTCTTGCTATACTACTTCAAATAAAGATAATTCAAAATTAAAGATACATTATGCAAGATTTAGATAAAAAGCTGACCGTTCTTGCTATAATAGTATCAAAATAAAGGGGGTTGGATGGCTAAATGGTTAGCTCGTGCGCGTTGTATCATACGGTTTGTCATTGAGTCAACTAACGGGGTTTAAATTCCCCAGTTGTCGGTGACAAGGAGTAGGGTCGCTTGTCCAACCTCGTGGGTTTTCTCCGGGCCTACCACTTCTAAAGACCCCTACGCGCAAATGAATTATTGAAATAAAAAACTGTGTTACTCACGAAATGACCTAGTTTGTGTCGAGTGGACGTTAAACCCCATTTCTCTCTCGGCACTTGACAATCGAGACTAAGTCTCGATTATTCAGTTTATCTTTTAATCCATTTATATCTCTGACATGCGATGATCTAGAGAGTTGATTATAGGCTTGTTATGTGAATAAATGTCTAATCATAACAGTTTATATAACATTTGAAGCCAAAATAAAGACTTGCAATAGGCAGAATGGGCACTTACAGACCGCATCTTTAAGCAATTGAAATCCCTTCGTAATATTGTGAAAATGAATCGGCCCAAAGGGGGTTAAATTCCGTTCCGTATTTAACAAAGTTATAGTGAATAGAAATGTCATCGATCTATGCCGTTCGCTATGTATTAAGCCCACTGCTATTTTGTTGTACGCGAACCAAAACGATAGGCCTTTATAAATTGGATTGACACCGAGCAGGGAGGTTGTCTAATGTTGGTATTGTGATTATGTTTTCTTCCTTAGATGTTACATAATCAATCTAAGTAGATATTAACATGCATTAAACCGTGAGAAATTTTATATTTTAGCGAAAATTGAAAATAACACATCGTTACTTCAATCTGCTTCTTTTTTTTTCAGAGAGAAAACCTCGGATGATATACCTGAGACTAACAACTCTAATAAATACACGTAAGTTTCCACCTGGTTCATATTATACCTGGAATAGATTTAATGGGGGCCATAGTGGTGGTGGCCCAGTGATAAAAGCACTGGTGGCTGAATAACCAGGGGTCCCCGGTTCGATCTCGGTCTTGTCTACTTAGTCGATTGGAAGGAAATCCGGGGTCTAGTGTACACTTTGGCGGACACGTAAAATAATCCTTGACAGTTGGAATTAGATAAAGACTAGGAGGAAAGCCGGGATAAATTCCCCTCTGAGGTTGGACAGGCGAGCCTAACCCGTGTACGGTACACACTGAGAATCGAGCCACGCCACTTGACTCAATCACAGACCGTATGATCTAAAGCGCACGCGTTAGACCATCTTACAACCGATCCCCGCATGGTTTTATTTATAAATAATAATAATAATGGAGAATATTATGATGAAAGTAAGCACCATATGTGTTCACAATAGATGAATTACTTAATTACTTAATTAAAGGCTCAATACCACTCTTGTTGTAACTGAATAATATATCCCAATCTTTATTCTGGTCAACAAATTGCACTATTTTACAATATTCCAATTAATTGATGATACAAATTTCATCTTAACACACCTAATTTAAAAAATTGGAAAAATTCAACTAAATGATTTGAAAAGCCTGACGTAAAGCTTTTCAAATGTGACTTGGATTTAAAAATATTTTTGAACCCTCTGGACAAGTAAAATAGGATTTAATGGATAATTTACACAACAGGTTGGACACTAACACATCTAGTACTTAGAATAATGCTATTTTTTATTTTCTGGAGCTGTCAAGCCAGCAAGAGTGTTATTGTCCCTTTAAAGGACAATATTGGTGTCAGTCATCATCACATATGTGATAGAACTGGTTAAACACGTTCCAAATATAATTTTAACACAGCGATCATTGCTACGATAGACGTGGTATGAAGCTTTCAAAAAAGGGAAGTGACGAACGCAAAAGGAAAACACGAGTTATCCTTCTATACAGTAGGACGTTAAACTCCATTTCATTTCTTTTCATTTCATATCCTTCTATATAACGAGTGATAACAGATTCACGGGCGGATTTCTGCTCACCAATAATTCCTTCGAAGATCAAAAGTTGTTATATGAGACTGTGGGGGATATCTGACAACGTGATAATGACTGACACCAATATTGTCCCTTTGAGCACAAAAAGTATGTTTCTAGTCCAGCGAGGCCTCGTGTACAAATTATTACTAAACGTACAATAAGCCCCGGCAGTAGAAATCCGTCGCTGCACGGGCAACATTCTCTCCCTCGTACTGAGCACGTAATAATAGAAATAACAATTACCGTATGTTGATCAATGTCAAGTGTGAACTGGACCTTGAACCCTATTTAACTTCGCATTGTTAGTCAAGCGTATAGCGTCCTTTTAAAGGAAATGAAAATGAAATGAAATGGGGTTTATCGTCCTACTGTTCTGCTCCTAAACTAGGCTAATGAAGACGGGCATACGCCATATATTGTGTGTATGTGGGAAATTTTGCCCAGGCAGCGGCGCTACGGCCTACTCTTATATCGAATTCCAACTGTCAAGGAATCTTTTACGTGTACGCCAATGTATACACGGGATCTCCTTTATAAGGAACTTAACCTCTAACTCAATATTATCAATAATATTCGATATTATCAATAATATTCGATATTATCAATAATATTCGATAATATCAATATTATATCAATATGGCGTGGTTTCGAATCCCCGGTTGTACATGATAAGGAGTAGGGTCGCCTGTCCAACCTCGTGGGTTTTCTCCGGGTCCTCCCACTGCTAAAGACCCCTACGCGCAAGCGAATTATTGAAATAAAATTAAACCATATGTTAGTCCCGAAATGACCTAGTTTGTGTCGAGTGGGCGTTAAACTCCATTTCTTTCTTTCTCATAATCAACTCTCTCTAGACCATCGGGTGGAGGTGATTTACATGGATTAGAACGGCCGCGAGATCTAAAAATATAACGTTTACATAGATCATCGAGTCTGCGCCCCTTTAAGCTTATATATCATTTAGTTATGCATCAGTAATTTATCTACCTAGTCTATCAAACCACGAGAATAATAGACCATACATGTATATACAGTAAAACTGATATACTCTGAACTTTGACCTGATAGCGAATATATGATAATTAGTATGATGATACATGTACTTATGGCTGTTCTCCGCATCACTTCATGTCTGGACCAATATACGTGAAATATGAATAAGCACGGGAGTAATGGATATGATAAACTTCCGAATGAAAGGACACATCTTTTAGACCACGATTCCCCGTCTGTCGCCTCGGGGTAAGACTCATCATATATATTTATAGATATTATAACTAGAATACTAGAATACAACAATTGTATAATATATTGATATTAGATCAAACTTCTGTGACCTAGACGTACTCGTAGATTTAGCTGATCTGACGTAAGTACTTTGGATATCTCCTGGGAGTCGACATAAGAGGAGGTCGTATAGCGTCGCTGTCGTGTCAAAATGTCTCCCATAGCACACTGCATGGCGTATTTAACATGCATAATAATTTGTTTTGATAACACTTTAAATGATAGTAACTGGACCTAATCTTCTTGTTGCTGGACCAGTAACTGGGCCCCAACCACTATTAGTCTTGTTGTTGCTGGACCAGTAACTGGGCCCCAACCACTATTAGTCTTGTTGTTGCTGGACCAGTAACTGGGCCCCAACCACTATTAGTCTTGTTGTTGCTGGACCAGTAACTGGGCCCCAACCACTATTAGTCTTGTTGTTGCTGGACCAGTAACTGGGCCCCAACCACTATTAGTCTTGTTGTTGCTGGACCAGTAACTGGGCCCCAACCACTATTAGTCTTGTTGTTGCTGGACCAGAAACTGGGCCACAACCACTATTAGTCTTGTTGTTGCTGGACCAGTAACTGGGCCCCAACCACTATTAGTCTTGTTGTTGCTGGACCAGTAACTGGGCCCCAACCACTATTAGTCTTGTTGTTGCTGGACCAGTAACTGGGCCCCAACCACTATTAGTCTTGTTGTTGCTGGACCAGTAACTGGGCCCCAACCACTATTAGTCTTGTTGTTGCTGGACCAGTAACTGGGCCCCAACCACTACTAACCTTGTTGTTCTTTTGCATGGGTCTACGCGATTCGAAAAGAGTCCAGGGTTCCGACAATTCAAGTACGATCGACTTTGCATACTTATTCCTTGGACAATTGCGCATTGATTGACGGACTTCCCATTTCAAGATGTCTGCGGTGACTTTATATTCAGTTCCTGGTTCAAAGTACGATGGTGCATGTTAAACTTTATCCCAGAGTCAATAATACCAATGGTCTTCGTTAAACCAATTAGAAACGCCGGATTGTGACCAAGAAAGGTCCTAGGCCACACATAATCCCCCAACCTCTAGACTAGAGGAAGATGAAGAGGCGTTTTAAAATCAATTAAGCAGAGTCGAGGATAATGACGAATGTTTAAACTACAGTGAGTATGAGACGACCTATGACAGTGTCAAAAATAGTATAAACCTTTGACTGGCGCCCCCTCCCCCATCCCTAGTTCTTGAGGCCCTAGCCTTCAGCCTACCATGCACATAGATAACTCCGGCAGTGCATTTTGGGCAGTAACATTGTTATATTGTATAAACGTTTATAAATGGAATAATAACGTGAATAACATAGAGGACAGTGGTATATGTCACATATATGTAATTCAATAAAAGTAGCTTGGAGCATGACGAATGATTTATGTACTCTATATATGAAATATAATGACGTTGGTGGAATTTAACACATGTATATCATAGAAATATTAGAATAAAAGTAAAGATTTCAGCTCTCAGTATAAAAAACAATAGTATGAACTCAACAACTGTTTAATCATTGTCTAATATTTTCCGCCACAGGGGCCTGATTAGGACATAACATAACGAATATTAGTTATATAAATATTAGTGTAGCCCCGCACCCGACACACAAACACACATACCCACTGCATCCCGCATCAACATTCCCATCCAACTTCTCGAATCCCTCATCCGCCCCCCCCCCCCATCACCCCTCATGGGAATATCAGATTAGTGCTAAATGATAAGGTCAGGGCCCTTATTCACGAAAACTTAAACTAAGATACAATCGAAATTTTAAGAAATACTGCAATTCGATTGGCTGACCAGTAAAATCAATTTGCATATATCCAATGAAGTTGCAGTATTTCATAAAATTTCGGTTGTAATTTAGTTTAAGTTTTCGTGAATAAGGGCCCTGTCTAATATTTCGTCATAGGTCGCGATATGTAAACAGGGCTAGCACTAATCCCAGCCCTAACCCTAGACCTAGCCCCAATGCTTACCCTGACCATAACCTACAATCTCGCCAACAATCACGTGCCCTAACATTATTTACATCTCAGCGACCTTGAGGGAAATTGAGCCGGCCTTAACAAAAAGATTTAGCCGAACAATGAACATTTAAATATGTTGGCTTCCGAAGGTTTCATTAAGTTAGACATTGTTGTTTCTTGTTTCTACTCATCAGGGATTGTGTTTATGATTGTCAACCTAACCTTAAACATACATTATGCAAGAGCTAAATCTGCCTATTGCAAGTCTTTCTTTAGGCCTGGAATGTTTTCTAAAGTATTAATTAGACATTAATTAACTGATCTAGGCATTAATCAACTCTCGATGGCATCAGATTTCTCCGATATTAAATAGATTAGAATGGTTCAGCGATACTTTGATTTAATCAAATATGGAGGACCGAGACTTAGCTTCGATCAACCAGTACGGTGGTTGAAAATATTGCACACGTCTGTCAAACCTTCAAAGGCTAATAGCTTCGCTTGCAATAGAGGAATTTGAATGAAATTTTCAAATTATTCATTTTACATCATTTACTTTCGAACTATTATAGCAAGAATGGCTAGTTCTTTATCTAAATCTTACATAATGTATCTTTAAATAGTTACATCAGCGCCCTAACAATAGGTTGGCGAACAAAGGTCACTTCTTATCTGATCATGATAAAATAACACTTTCTCTAAATCGCTAGATCTTTCTTATTGAATATGAAATAATACGGCAAGTTATTATTATAGGCTTTAAATATGTTATAATACAAATGGTTATTACTACCCTCCTATATAGATATGAATACGTAATAGAGAGAGAGAGAGAGAGAGAGAGAGAGAGAGGAGAGAGAGAGAGAGAGAGAGAGAGAGAGAGAGAAATGGGGTTTATCGTCCACTCGACACAAACTAGGTCATTTCGGGACTAATATATGGTTTAATTTTATTTCAATAATTCGCTTGCGCGTAGGGGTGTTTAGCAGTGGGAGGAAACCGGAGGACCCGGAGAAAACCCACGAGGTTGGACAGGCGACCCTACTCTTTGTCACGTACAACCTGGGATTCGAAACCACGCCAGTTGACTCAATGACAGGCCTTATGATACAGCACGCGCACGTGCTAACCATTCGGCCATCCAACCCCCCTAATATGTAATAAGACCAATGGTTATTACCATAGGGTTCAAATATGTAATATATGTAATAATCCGAATGGTTAAATATGTAACACAACGAACGGTTATTATAGGCTAAAATATCTAACAATTCAATGATTATTACTATATAGGATAAAATATCTAACAATTCAATGATTATTACTATATAAGCTTGAATGTGTAATAATACGAATGGTTATTACTATATAGGATTAAATATATAATAATACAAAATGGTTATTATAGGCTTGAATATATAATAATACGAACGGCTGTTATAGGCTTGAATATTTAATAATACGAACGGTTATCATAGGATTAAATATGTAATAATACGAATGGTTATTATAGACTTGTAATAATACGAACGATTATTATAGACTTGTAATAATACGAACGGTTATCATAGATTTAAAAATGTAATAATACGAACGGTTATTATAGACTTAAATATGTAATAATACAAATGGTTATTATAGACTTAAATATGTAATAATACGAATGGTTATAATAGGATTAAATATGGTTCACATGTTATAACAGTTAAAGTTACATCTATCGTATATATAATAACATACTTGTCTATATAGATCATATGATAGGTCACGTGTAACAACTGGTAATCCACGTGACATATATATCGCGTGACATCTATAGTTAACACTGACATATCATTTAATCTAAGTAATCACGTGACATATATCAATATATTTATATAGGTAATACTAACATTCATATCTAATTATATCCTTTCATTTATCTATGGCGTTATCTAACAAACTTTCTATCACGACCGTATTCATTCTCGGCATCCCCAGACCCCAGATTGTGCTATTTTTATCGAACAATAAGCTTTATAGCATACCTGCCTGTTTTGACTGGCGTAAAAACATCTTTCCTATTGAAAAGATGTTCAAGGACTTGTGTTTGTGTGCATGTCACTTCTTTGTATTAAATTTCTTGCAAAATTTCTCAGAATCGAGTGAACAAGCTGCCATATTGTTTTGAACGTAAGACTGGTTTGTAAATTGTTTTTTGATTAGTTCGCAGAATCAAGCTACGATCAAGGGCAGACAATTTGAATACGCGTTAACCCCTCTATGAACCCATGGTATAGTGATTTGGGGCCACTGAAGATGTACCGTATTCTGCTGGCCATACTTCTATTTACACCTGTTGTTCGAGAAAGATCATCAGGATTATCCGGTGTGGTTTCCCCCTTGTCAGTGGGTCCGGATAAAGGACCTGGCAAGGAACAACGTATAGTCGTTCGAATGGGACGAAAAATGGAGATCCTGTGTAAACTTTGGTGTGCACGTAAAATATCCCTTGCAGTTGGAATTTGGGAAAAAGGTTCGGGATAAAGGTTTTCCGTAGTATACAATATACTGTATGCATTAATTCACCTCGGTTTGAACCTAACGGGATAAAACTAAAACCTTTATTTGTTATCTTACACCGAAATGCAATGAGGTTTAACGTCCAATCGTGATATGGAAGAGGGAAATTCCGGAAATTTTTTAACACGCTCCTGCCAACTACCCAGGTTTCTTATACGTGGACGCGAACATATACGTGGAAGATTGGGCCTTTGTCCATTTAAACGTCACAATTGTCCTTCTATGCCATCAGTTGTTGAAAACAGAAGGTGATGATGGTATTTTTAAAATTCTTTCAAATTCTTTCAGTGTAAATGAAGACCCAAGAATATTTGAACCACCAGACAAAAAAAAAGCAAGATGGCGGTCTATACGTATCATGTATTTAACAATGTTTCTGAGCAGTGTGACGTTTACTATCACCATGGCATCATTATGGCCTTATTTGGAACTGGTAAGTCCAGAAAACCATACATGGCCGTGGATCCATCCTTGAATAATTACTTGATAAAATAATGGTTGGTGAAATTTCATGGTAAAATCGTGAGTCATGCATTGTATTAGATTTGTAAACAGATGATGACAAGACTTCAACCTCGGCTAATAACAGATGCAAAGGCTTCGATCGACCTCGGCTAATAACTGATGGAAAGGTTTCCACCTCGGCTAATAACAGATGCCAAGGCTTCGATCTCGTATAATAACAGTTGCAAAGGCTTCGATCTTGGCTAATAACAGATGCAAATGCTTCGATCTCGGCTACAAATAACACATTGTACATATATTTAAAGATGTCCCCCAACATAACATGGCAAATTAAGGCAAGGATTCTTATGAAAGTCCCACAGTATATTCCATTATCAAAATCTTGATATTTACGTGTGCAATATGTATCAAATGTCAAACTCGTCTGCCGCGAAATGGTTTCCAGGATGCCATTTTACCAGAACAGTCTTATCAATGATTATAATTCCGCGCCGAACGAATAAAGGAAGGGCTATTGAAATGGGTTCCATTCGCACATCCGTCCTTCCTTATTATATTTCCGGAGTATGTTTGATGAATCGCTCTTAGAACAACTTGTGCTTCCTTATAGTATTACCGGTGTCTAATGGATAACTCTTAGAACAACTTGTGCTTCCTTATTGTATTTCCTGTGTCTAATGGGTAACTCTTAGAACAACCCTTCCTTCCTTATTGTATTTCCGGTGTCTGATAGATGACTCTCTATGAAACCGAGAACACGTATTAACTTATTACAGTACTAATTAGAAATTTAATCATATTTCCAGTATATTTATTGTGGTATAAAAGGTCTCCTTCTTTCTCGCTAATCAATATTTAGTTGTTTTATAGTATTCTATCTGTACTCTGTTTTATGGTATTCTATCTGTACTCTGCTATATTTTGGGTGTATATTCAGTAATGGGGATTGGGTGGTCGAATGGTTAACGCGTTTGTGTTGGATCAGTAAGTCTGTCATTGAGTCAAGTGGTGTGGTTTCTATTCCCCGCTGGTCCAACCTCATGGGTTTTTGCGAGTCCTACGGTTTCCGCCCACTGCTAAAGATCCCTACGCACAAGCGAACTATTGAAATAAAATTGAACCATATGTTAGTCCCGAAATTACCTAATTTGTGTCGAGTGGACGTTAAACCCCATCTCTGTCTAAATATATATATTCTATAGTTTTTATTATGTCTGTTTATAATCATGTAATTGTTGTATGTACAAAGCAGCGCCACAGAGCAGCTTTACAAGCGCCACAGAGCAGAGCCACTGGGCAGATTTACAATCGCCATGGATCAGATTTACAAGCGCCACGGAGCAGATTTACAAGCGCCACGGAGCAGCTTCACAAGCGCCATAGAGCAGAGCAACGGGACAGATTTACAAGCGCCACGGAACTATAAATTATTATCATTATTATTATTATTATTATTTCATCAGGTGGATCGGAAGGCATCGGCTGATTTCTTTGGTTGGATTGTAGCTGGATATAGTTTAGGTCAGCTAGTAGCTTCACCGTTGTTTGGTTTCTGGTCCAACAGATTTAATACGACAAGATGGCCGCTACTACTGTCTATCGGTATCAATATTGTAGCTAATATAATGTATGCTTATATAGAGAGTTTTCCAGATACACGACAATATTATCTATTACTAGCTAGAGCTTTAGTTGGGTTCGGTGCAGGTAAATACCCTTTAAATATTCTTATAAATATTCCGAAGAGAGAGAGAGAGAGAGAGAGAGAGAGGGAGATTAACGTCTACTCGACACAAACAAGGTCATTTCGGGACTAACATATGGTTCAATTTTTTTCACTAATTTGCTCGCGCGTAGGGGTCTTTAGCGGTGGGTGGAAACCGGTGGAAACCCACGAAGTTGGACAGGTGATCCTACTCTATGTCACGTACCACCAGGGAATCGAAACCACGCCAGTTGCCTTAATGACAGACCTTATGATACAGCGCGCACGTGCTAACCATTCCGCCATCCAACCCCACCAAAATAGTGACGTATCTATGTTTGTGTGGCCATGCCATATATTACAGTTCGTGACCAGACATTTTTATCAGAATGGTGCCAGTCCAGTCACTAGTTCTGGTTTCCGTTATGACGTCCATCATTTTAAGGTATGCGTTTCCAATAATAGGAATGAAACCCACGAATTCTTTGGCGCCTTTTCCCAGAGTATCGCGGAGTATAGCCACATTTGATTAAAATAAATGAAATGATATTTAATGTGTTTCTGCTAATGACGCCGGGCACCTGCCAGGCGGAAGAATTCCTGGTAATATAGTAACAAAACAAGTTTCTTTCTTCTGTAAAGACATTTAATTAGCTGCCAAGAAATAGCATTGCGTCAATAACAGAACATATTCTTTATGGAAAGCAATAACTAGTTTATTTTATATACACTCCGTTTCTAGAAGTATCCACATATCGGTATCGAGCACGACAACCAAAATACTATAATGTCGACAACCAAAATACTATAATGTCCAAAATATTGTGGGGGATCACGTGGCTAAGTAGGTAAGACGCTGGCTCGCTAGCCTGGAGGTCGGGTGTTCGATCCCTGCATTGGCCGAGAAAGTTCATCCCGATTTTCCGACGTGGTTTCCCCTTGTCAGTGATGCAGGACGGAGGGCCTGACAAGGACAGCTGTCTAGTCGTTCGGATGGGACGAAAAACCGAGGTCCCGTGTACACATGGCGTGCACGTAAAATATCCCTTGGCAGTTGGAATTCGATATAAGAGTAGGCCGTAGCGCCGCTGCCCGGGCAAAATTCCCCTCATAGCACACTGTATGGTGTATGCCCGTCTTCATTAGTCCAGTATAGGAGCAGAACAGTAGGACGTTAAACCCCATTTCATTTCATTTCCAAAATATTGTTTGTATGTTATGTGTGCACAATCACTTACTTTTTAGTGCCAAGTGATCGTGTCTGTCTCTGGGAGGAAACCGGAGGACCCGGAGAAAACCCTCGAGTTTGGACAGGTGACCCTACTCCTTGTCACGTACAACCGGGGAATCGAAACCACGCTAGTTGACTCAACGACAGACCTTATGATACAACACGCACGCGCTAATCATTCGGCCACCCCCTCCCCTCGACTAACTTAGGTCTGAGATAGAAACGGAAGATGTCGAATTGGTTTTATGATGTCGTTTTTTTTTTATCCAACACCCCATGTCACTTATCAGCTCAAATCTAAAGAATAAAACCCTTGAACGCTACAATAAATTGACCCCTATTATATTATTTACTGGCCAACTTTTAAAAAAAAGATTTTTGAACCAGACCTTCGATCAGGTGAACCAAAATACAGTCTTTCGAGATTTCATTCCAGGCATTGGACAGTGACAGCCAAAATATAGCCGAATGACGTCGTTATAGGGAATGTTTCCATGTATTTCAGGTAACGTAGCCGTAGTAAGGTAATATCTTGTATTCCAGGTAACGTAGTCGTAGTAAGGTAATATCTTGTATTTCAGGTAACGTAGCTGTAGTACGATCGTATGTAGCAGGTGCTACAACTAATGAAGAAAGGACAGGTGTCATGGCTAATGTCAGTATATTCCAATCTGTGGGATTTATTCTAGGACCAGGTAAATATAGAACACCTTCCCTTACATTAGATTACATACTTATATAGTAAGTGCAGGAGGACCGCACTACACACAAACAAAATCGACAAGACAAACACGCGGACAAGACAAACCTCCGGACAAGTCGAACATGCGGACAAGACAAACACGCGGACAAGACAAACACGCAAACAAGACAAACTACACAGACATTGCAAATAATAAACAATAAATGCAGCCGTAAGCATCCGACGAGCTGTACAGTCCCGGGCTTGTAGTGATACAGACTCCACTCAAAATGAAAACAAAACAAATCAATCATTCACAAGGTTGACGTTTCCGGAATAGTGACAATCTGCCAGTTGACGTAACGAGTTAAAACGTCAAGAAATTTACAGCACCAAGAGCGACAGTCTGGATAGAATTGGGAGAAAAGCCAAAAACCAATAAATATGTTTCTTAAGACTTAGAAACAGCGTAATATTTCTGTGTGACGTTGGTTTGTTTTCTGAAACTTGGGCTGGGAGCTTCAAGTGATTCCTTGAGACTTGGAGAACCACTTCAAGTATCTGTGTATAACATTGGATTTTTAGGAAAATATAAATAGATGCCCGGTTTTAAATACAGACCACGTTCTCTACATTTATCACTTATGTTAAAGATACATTATGGGAGATTCGATAACAAGTTGGTAGTTCTCACTATAATAGTTAAAAACTAGATAATGTAAAGGCAACTTGCTGAAAATTTCATTCAAATTAATCCACTATGAACCGAGAACTAAGCGATTGAAATTTCCGCCTAGCCTCGATCATCATTACTAAAGTCAGTACAATAAACAGTATAGTCTCGATTATCCATTTAATCGTCAAATCGTGAAGGAAAGTTATGCAGTAAATCGGCTTATAATCCACTAATAATCGCAGGCTAGCGATGCCATCTAGAGTTGATTATGGTCTGGATAGGTTAATTAATGTCTAATTAATAATTTTGATAACATTTCAAGCCTAAAGAAAGACCTGCAATAGACAGATTTAGCTCTTGCATAGTGTATGTTTAAATAAATATTTTAGAAGTTGTTTCCAAATTATATGATCTGTTTACAGCGTTTCAAGCTGCCCTAGTACCACTGGGATATCCTGGACCAGTATCTGAGTTGGAGTTTCATCTCGATCTGTATACAGCACCTGCCTTTCTCAGTGCTGTAGCTGGTTTTATTAATATATTATTACTGGTGACGTTATTTAAAGAAACTAGAGTTACAGAACTTACAACATTGAGTATACAAGGGGGTGATAGTGGTGAGTACTGTTACTATGTCGTATTTACCGTAACTACGAGTTTAAACTATCAATTGTTCTTGCTTTATCACTGACGTCTAGTCCTAGTAGACCCGTTCGCCAATTTAAAACAGCAGTCTTTCTTACTTCAAACTGGCGTTGGGGTGCGACGATACACCACGTCCCCGGGTACGCCTTGTCGTGCACGTTACTAGGAATTTTCCTCTGTAGTCGTTCCTACTTGAACTAGTCGTACGTGTTGCCGTGCACGTTTAATAACCTTTGACAGTTCCTCTCATAGGACACTACATGCCTAATGCCCGAGCGGCTTGGTGCAGAAAAGTAGGACGTTAAAACTTAGGTTTATTTATTCTGTGCTTGTAAGTAAACACTTCCACTTAAAACGTAATTAAAGCGCTGTTTTAAGTGGGAAACTTGTAATTATCTATTTGTGACATTAATCGCTATGAAAGGGTTGGGGAACGAAAAGTGTATTCGTTCGGAGGGGTTGAATAACCGATGTTCCGTTTACCCCGTTGACAATACGTTAAAGACCCCTACGCCCAAGCGAATTATTGAAAAAAAATTGAAACATGTTAGTCCCGAAATAACCTAGTTTGTGTCGAGATGAAATTAAACCCCATTTCTCTCACTCTTCCCCTGATAGTTTGAATCCAAAATAAGAGTTGGCTGTATTGTGAAATGTGATTGTGTTATTTTATTTTATTTCAGAATCTATGAATATAAACACGGAAAACAAACCGGATTATTTTGCTGTTATTTGTTCAATCATGATCTTCTTTGTTGTCCTCTTCATCTTTACTATATTTGAAACGTAAGTTGACAATCTGTTATCCCTGTCACTTAAAGATACATTAGTTAAGAGTTTTATAAAGAGTTGGCCATTCTTGCTATAATAATTCAAAAATAGATGATACAAAATTAATAATTTGAAAATTTTATTCAAATTACTCTATTGCGCGCGAAGATATTAGCCCTTGGAGGTTTGACAAGATGTGTGCATTAATTGTAACCACCGTACTGGTTGTTCAAAGCTAAGTCTCACTCCTCCATATTTAAATTAAATCAAAATATGGATGAACCGTTCTAATCTATTTAATATCGGAGACATCCGATGCCATCGAGAGTTGATTATGACCTGAATCAGTTAATTAATGTCTAATTAATAATTTAGATAACATTTCAGGCCTTACAAAAGTCCTGCAGTAGGCAGATTTAGCTCTTGCATAATGTATGTTTAAAGGTCTGTTAGCCGCGGTTGATCAGAGGGTAAGACACTGGCTCGCTAACTAGGAGGTTTCGGGTTGCTCACGGTGCTGGTCGAGAAGGTTCCTTGTTCATGGTGCAGGACCCTAGTGTTGGCCGAGGAATTTCCTCCATCCTTAGTTCCCCACTTGTCAGTGTTGCTGGACAGAGGGTCTGGCAAGGACAGTTTTAAATCCTTCGGAATTTTTGTCGAGCAAAACACTAATCGATTTCATGTTGCAGGTATCTGGTCACCGACGTTTTATCGTGCAACGTGCAAGAAAATTCCCCCCCCCCATTACCTCCGAGGTTATATAGGAATGATTAATGGTTCATCATTAACACATAACATACCTTTTGTATACAGAATAGGTTCACCATTAACACATAACATACCTTTTGTATATAGAATAGGTTCACCATTAACACATACCTTGTGTATATAGAATAGGTTCACCATTAACACATAACATACGTTTTGTATATAGAATAGGTTCACCATTAACACATAACATACGTTTTGTATATAGAATAGGTTCACCATTAACACATAACATACCTTGTGTATATAGAATAGGTTCATCATTAACACATAACATACGTTTTGTATATAGAATAGGTTCACCATTAACTATGGATATGTATGGTTGGAGTAAAAAGAAAGCTACGTTATATCAGGGTATAATATTAGTAGGAGCCGGATGTGAAGCCATTGTAGTTTCTCTCTTACTCAAAAGAATCGCTAAAAGGTGAGTACAATTTACCCAGATCTGTACATCATTGAAACTATGGTAACCATATTAAAAATAAGCCCGGGGATTTCTTCACGTCTGGATGCTGCAGGAAGGAGCTCCTGGTGGTAAACGTGTCGTGTCGTTGACGTACCCGTAAACAACCCTTCGCAGTTAGAATTTAACGCCGACTTCCGGGAAAACTCCCCCCACCACCACCCCATGACATACTGCGCGGCGTGTCCATCTCTGCATTAGCCTAATAGGCGCAGAGTAGTCCGACGTTAACACTGTTGACATCGTTGACTAAGCAATACTTTTTATAAATGAATATATACATAATGTGTATTAGTTAGTTAAAATTGTTAATAATCAGACAGAAGTCATTAATAGGTGTTATGCCACTTTCGTCTAGGTTTGTGTATTCAATAGTATGGGGGGGGGGGCTGAATGTTTAGCGTCCGCGCGCTGTATCATAAAGTCTGTCATTGAGTCGACTGGTGTGGTTTCGAATCCCTGGTTGTACGTGACAAGGAGTAGGGTCACCTGTCCAACCTCGTGGGTTTTCTCCAGGTCCTCCGGTTTCCTCCAACTGCTAAAGACCCCTACGCGCAAGCGAATTATTGAAATAAAATTACACCATATGTTAGTCCCGAAATGACCTAGTTTGTGTCGATTGGACGTTAAACCCCATCTCTCTCTCTCTCTCTCTCTCTCTCTCTCTAAATAGTATGGGTGTTATAAATAGTCACGCTTACTTTTTACACCAGTAGTGCCATCTTTTTACAGCTAATTACACACCTGCTAATTAATGACAACTGTATAATTTCTAAACACTTTCTATACATACTAAACATAAGTTTTGAAAATTGATCACTTATTTGATTTAATGACAAGGTTCATAAATCAACGGTATCAACTTACCAGCGTAAACCCTACTTCATATCAATTTTAGCGGAATACATTCGACATGCGGAAGGATAATAAAATAACGAGCGCGTGATTTCCGTGATCAGGAAGCCTCGTGTTGATTTCAGCGTGGGACGTTTAAAACTTACTGTGGATTTTTGTTTTAATATTTTTATTCAGAAAACAAAAACACACTATATATCAGTGTATGACCAGACTGGGTCATCTTGTCTAAGTCAGTTTCCGGTGGTTAAAATGACTGGCAGATCTTGAGTCCACTGCGCAGGTTCATGTTACCATTATTATAAATATGATTCAATATCTCAAACAGATCAGGTGTGTGTTGTTTGATGTTTAACCTCGACTCGATTTCATCTTTACAATATCGATGATTACATCTGAAAGAATAAACAAAAATATCACGTGTTCTTTTAATACTGTTATATGGTTCAATTTTATTTCAATAATTCGCTTGCGCGTATTGGTCCTTAGCAGTGGGAGGAAACCGGAGGACCCGGCGAAAACCCACGAGATTGGACAGTGGACCCTACTCCGTGCCAGGTACGAGCGGAAAATTGAAACCACATCAGACTCGCAAGCGTTAAACCGCTAGCCCCGCCCCCCATCTACCCCCCTCCCCATAACATCATAACGATTAGCTTACTATGCATAAATCTGTATGGTAAAAACAAAAATATTTTCCATAGAGCTATATTCCTGTTAAATATGAACCGGGGTGTTCTGAATACTTACAGTGTTCTTACCATGTGGCTCAGTGAGTAAGACGTTGGTTCGCTAACCTGTAAGTCCCATGTTCGATCCCTGCAGTTCATTGGGAGTTTTCGCCGTGTCCCCCCCCCCCCTTGTAATTGATGCAGGACCGAGGACCTGGCAAGGTACAACGTGCAGTCGTTCGCATGTGACGAAAAACCTAGGTCCTGTAAGCCTACACATTAAAGTGCACGGAAAAGATCCCATGGCAATTAAAATTCGATATAAGAGTAGGCCGTAGCGCCGCTGTCCGGGCAAAATTTCCCTCATAGCACACTGTATGGTCTATGCTGGTCTTCATTAGCCCAGTCGGAGCAGATCAGTAGGACGTTAAACGCCATTTCATTTCATGTCTTACTCTGTGAGCCCGCCATCATAATTCTGATGATTGACGTTGAACCAACCGGAAGTTCCTTCAGCAAAATATTCGTCTTCATTGGATAGAGCATATGACGGTCCGTATATGTGATGATTTTTTGCATTGGCAAAAGCCGCAGTCAGCTGAAATTAATCAAATTAATAACAGTCCATTAAAGGCACATTATGTGAGATATAGATGATGAGCTGACCGTTCTCGTTTTAATAATCACAAATTAGAAAATGAAAAGGGAATATGTTGAAAATTTCATTCAAATTACTTCACTTGATTGTCATTGGGGAGCCACGGTGGTTAGGTGGTTAACACGCTGGCTCGCTAGCCTGGAGGTCGGGTGTTCGATCCCTGCATTGGCCGAGAAAGTTCATCTTGATTTTCCGACGTGGTTTCCCCTTGTCAGTGGTGCAGAACAGAGGGCCTGACAAGGACAGCTGTCTAGTCCTTCGGATGAGACGAAAAACCGAGGTCCCGTGTATACATCCCTTTGGAATGCACGTAAAAGATCCCTTGGCAGTTGGAATTCGATATGAGAGTAGGCGATAGTGCCGCTGCCCGGGCCAAATTTCCCTCATAGTACACTGTATGGCGTATGCCCGTCTTCATTAGCCCAGTACAGGAGCAGAACAGTAGGACGTTAAACCCCATTTCATTTTATTTTGATTGTCATTGCTACCGTTGATAATATAATAAACAAAGTCTCGATTATCCATTTCCAAATTGAATTATTAAGTCGTTCGCGTGGGACGAAAACCTGAGGCTCCGTGTACGTATGGGCGTGCGTAAAATAATGGAATGGGTGTAAGAGTAGGCCATAGTGCCGCTGTCCGGGAACAGTTTCCCTCACAGCACACTGTATGGCGTATGCCCGTCTTCATTAGACCGTCTTCATTAGACAGACAATTTCCCGTTGCAACAAGAACAACAAGTACAAGAAGATAAGTTAGGGATCAGTTCCCGGTACAAGACATAAAGACGTACCTTCGATCTATAAGCTGACTCGGCACCGTAGAATTTGATATTATGGCCGAACTCGTGTATAAGAACATTGTATTTATGTCGATAGGGATCGCTACTTAAACATAGAACATTGTCTTCTAGAACCAGAGCTCTAGAGCCACCGGAACCGGCTACCGTATCCCATTTACGACCATCAAACGTACAGGTTACCTTACACGATCCGTCGCATCGTCCTATGAAAAAATAAAACAACACATATTTATGATGAATTATATAAGCTAGTGTATTTTCGTTTGAAATTTCACTCATGGGGCATAGAAAAAAGGAGACTTAAGGTAAAGGCAGCTGATAACTGTGGGTAAAGCATGCCTAATTATATGCAGGGTAGGTGCTAATAAAGGACATGAAATGAATTGAAATGAAATGGAGTTTAACGGCCTACTGTTCTGCTCCTAACCTGGGCTAATGAAGACGGGCATACGCCATACAGTGGGAAATTTTGCCCGGACAGCGGCACTACGGCCTACTCTCATATCGAATTCCAACTGCCAAGGGATCTTTTACGTGCACGCCAATGTGTACACGGGACCTCGGTTTTTCGTCCCATCCGAACGACTAGACAGCTTTCTATGTCAGCCCCTCCATCCTGCATCACTGACAAGGGAGAACCACGCCGGAAAATCTGGATGAACTTAATAAAGGACATGGATGATTATACCTCTTAACCATACATTATGCAAGAGCTAAATCTGTCATTACAGGTCTTTCTTTAGGCTTGACATGTTATATAAATTATTAATTAGACATTAATTAACTTTTCTAGATCATAATCAACCATCGATGGCATCGGGTGCTCGAGATTGTCAACGGATGTAAACCCGATTGGCGACCAATGATTTAATTTAAAAAATGGATAATCGAGACTTTTTTTACTATCGTAACAACGGTAGCAATGACAATCGTGTCTTGACTGTTCTGCAATGAAGATCGACATACACCATGCATTGTGCTATGAGGGACATCTTGCTCAGACAGTGGCGCTACGGGCTGCTCTTATATCAAATTCCAACTGTCAGGTGTTCTGTTACGTGCACGCTGATGTGTATATGGGACTTCATTTTTTTTGTCCCATCTGAAAGACTAGACAGCTGCCCTTGTCAGGCCCACCGCTCTGCACCACTGACAAGGAGATACAATGTTGGAAAATTCCTAGGGAGTGAATTCCAGAGCTTACGGCTAGCGAGCTGGCGTCTTACTCGTTATGCCACCGCGGGTCCAAGACAAACCAAATTCTAACCTCTACAAGCGGCACTGTCTTTAGTGTTGGCCATCTCAGGATAAGCCGATAAACCTTCTCCATGGGCAAAGATTCCGATACCTTTTGAACGAGTGGCTAATCGCTCAAAAACAGTACTTGGCATGTGACGTACCATATAGCTACAAATCAAAGCTGCCTAAAAAAAGTTGAAACGTAATAAATAACAAAGAAAGTAGCTGGTCGTTGTCGCTGGTCGTTGTCGCTGGTCGTCGTCGCATCGTTTGAGTAATATCTAATTCTTATAGCTATAGCTATAGGCATCCTTGGTAAATACAAAGTTTTGAGAGAGAATTGAAGCAAATTTTTGATAGATTGGTTACTTTGAATATGTTTTTAGTCCAAATATATCATTAAATCACAAAGTTTGTACGCGGGAATGTATCTTTAATATGGATAAAAACTAAGATCCTGTTCTGGAAGGCCAGGCTAGTCAATCCCGAGGATTGGTCAACACCGGGAATCAACCCAGTCATCTGGCCGGAAGTTCACAGAGTATTCTCTGACTTTATTTAAGAATTTACTCAACTTTCAATCCCTATTTATGAAAAAGATCTTTGATCCAGAGACACAGAAAAATTGCCCATAGTTTCTTATTGATATATTTGATACATTAAAACAACAAGAGTTTTATAAAGGGCTATATTTTAGTTAAAATAAGGTAAACAATTTTGAGTAAATTCTTAACTGAAGTCTGAGGATGCTTTGTGAAGTAGGGGCCTGGTTAGCAATCTGAAGGCTTATTCAATGAACAACCATGGATTCTACTATACTATATCTTAACGTGACAAGGAGTAGGGTCGCCTGTCCAACCTCGTGGGTTTTCTCTAGGTCCTCCGATTTCCTCGCACTACTAAAGACCCCTACGCGCAAGCCAATTATTGAAATAAAATTGAACCATATGTTAGTCCCGAAATGACCTAGTTTGTGTGAAGTGGACATTAAACCCCATTTCTCTCCCTCTTTCCCTACTATCTCTAAACTGGTCGACTTATGCCACCGATTTAAAAATGACAAACGTTTTTGATTTTTAGATCAAAATTGTATTGAATTGGTTTAGGGTAAGCGCTAGTCTTATTTACATCTCGTGATCTTTGATCAAACTTTAAGTTGACCTTATCAAGTAGATCTAATCCAGTATTCCCTAAAGACATTAATGTGCTCATACAGTTAGGGTCATTTTTTTTTTTTAGTTTGGAGGCCCTTTATAGTTGGTCTGAGGTCTTTTTAGTCTTAAATTTATGTCGTTTTTGATGAATTAGTAAGATTGCCACACCCATAATGTGTGCATAAGCAACATTCACAGTCAGTATTTAAAAAAACGTTGCGCCGCATAGAGTCATGGCCGTTAACGGGGCCAGGCTAAGGGGCCTTTGGACTCCATCTATCCCTGGTTATCGTGGCTTACGACGTAAACGTGTTAGAAATAATTGACAGTGTATATAAATACCTCATAATGCCCCTTCTCTGATGTTCTCAGGGTTGCAGCTACCTGTACTGAGTGTCGGGAACTTGGTTTGGATGTGTGAATGGCACCATCGCTGCTGACGTATTTATACTTGTAACCACTCGAGGATGCTCTAGGTGTCGGAAGTCCTCTCAGAAATTCATAATCCTGTGGACTTACATATTAAAATAACAAAAAAAATAAAATCGGAATATATTTAGGAATAATATAAAATCGATTAACTGAGATTTCACCATTTAAAAGAAGTCGAGTTCACCGATAAACATTGTTTAATTATCTGTGAAAAGCTACCTTCACTCCACACCAAGACATTAAAAAGTAATATGGCTTCTATCACGATTTGTAAATTAATGTTCCTCCACTTCATCGGCATAGAACTCGCAAAAAAAGACAGAAGTTCCTGGAAGAGATTCCATGTATCCGTAGAAAATGACCTAAATTAAATCACAAAATTTCCAAATTTGGCGTTTGGTCTACCGCTTCTGCTGTAAGAGGTTCCAGGGAGAGATCCCCTGAAACTGTATGGAGGGTGGATAACTCTATTGGTTTTGGGTCAGGTGGTGGTTTTGGTGTGGATAGTCGTACAATAACATGCACTGAAAGACAGCGTTAGCAAGTTGAAATATGGGTGTTTAGATGTAGTCATTAGCAGATTAGAAAATTACCTAAAATAAGTCACACAATTTTCAAATTTGGCGTCTGGTCTACCGCTACGTAATAAACTTGAGGAGAAGGGTCGCCTGTCTAACGGCGTAGGTTCTGTCCGACTACACGGGGTTTAGCCCACTTCTAATAGGTTAATTGTTGAAATAAAACTGGCCTCGTTTGAGTGGGTGCTAAAACGTATTTCTCTACCTTTCCGAAATCAACCACAGTTTGTGTTGATTGCTGCAGAAAAGGCGGACGCTAAACCCCATTTCATTTAATTTCATTTCACAGGTTGAGTTGGATACAGATATACCTTCAATCTGATTACAACACAGATGCTATTTCGTTTCGTTTTTCATAGTTCGAAATTTCGTTTTACCTGTCTTTACTACACTAGGATCTGGAAGAGTTGTTATATAACCTGCGTTCTGGTTGATGTGAGGGATTAGCTAATGAAACGGTCTGTTACTGTGAGTTTTTGGCGTGAGGTGCACAGAACTGTGGGTAACCCACAGGAAACATCAACGCTGACTGGTTACTCAAATGTATGACGTCATATGTCAAAAGCCGCTCGTATGACTTCTAAAGCGACCTTCATGTAGTGTAGGCCATCTAAAGTAAACGAAACGAAATATAGATCTGTACTTTAATCCGATAGATACCTTAGTTTTCCCGTTGTATAAACAACATCTTGAGATACAGACAGAGCTTGATGCAAGAATCCTGCTAAAAGATATTAAAACTATTTTAACATCAATAATATTGATCTAAGAAATGTACATATATATGTTGGTCAAGGCTAGAAGAGTCAACTAATCTGTTTGTTTTGGTGTCCTATACACGACAACAATATGATTTCGTGTTTTTCAATCACGTGCAGAAAGGTGATTAATGAGAGAGAGAGAGAGAGAGAGAGAGAGAGAGAGAGTGAGTTTAACGTCCACTCGACACAGACTCGGTCATTTCGGGACTTACATATGGTTTAATTTTATTTCAATAATTCGCTTGCGCGTAGGGTGTTTTTTGCAATGGGAGGAAACCGGAGGACCCGAAGAAAAACGTGATTAATGTTTGTAGTTTTTAAAAATATTTTATCGACCATTTACATTTTGATTCATGAGAGTGGTTGTATAGGTAGAGGCCCCAATGCACTGCCTGGCACGAGGGGTCCATAATTATACCGTTAAGACGACCCTGTCGTCCAAGGGGGGGCTACGTGGGGTTGGGGTGCGAGGAGGTCTGGGGTTGGGTGGATAGGGGGTTGGGTGCGAGGGGTTGGAGTGCGAGGAGGTCTCGGGTTGGGGTTCCTGGAGTTTGGGTGCAAAGGGTTTGGGTTCCTGGGGTTTAGGTGTGAGGAGGTATGGGGAGCGGTCCTCAATAAAACAAGACAGTTAATGGATTATTTAGAATAGAGATGGGACAACATCGTTCGAGAGATTAGGCCTGCAGTCCGTTGACAATCTGATTCAAATACAGATCTATATTTCGTTTCGTTTTTTTTATACTTTCGATGTCCTACACTACATGAAGATCTGACCGGTTGTACTGGAAGGTCGTGTCTGAGGGTCGTACGAGCGGCGTTTGACCCTATGACGTCAGACATTGAGTAATCAATCAGCGTTGACGCCTCGAGTGGTTTACCCACAGTTCCGTGAATCGCACGCCAAGAAATCGCCGCAACAGACTGTTTCATTGGCTAATCCCTCACTTCAACCAGATCCCAGTGTAGTAAAGACAAGTAAAACTAAATGTTGAACTATAAAAAAACGAAACGAAATAGGATCTGTGTTTTAATCAGATTGGTCCGCTTACTAATTTTAGTTCCGTTCTTAGCTTAAGATGTCGAATGTTAGTCACGCATAAGGTTGTGAACGGTGACAGACTTTTTTCTCATTAACCACAAAATCTCAAAAATGGTGTCTGATTTTACGCATACGAAAACTTGTGAGTCGGTCACCTGCGTTGTTCTCAGAACTCGCATGGTCGACTGCCAAGATAGCAACTTGCAATTCTTTTATTGGAAATGGTGGACAATAAATCTTAATGAAGTTGTTGTTTATTATAAATCAAACGTTGAATACATAACACGGCTAAATCTATTTGTTTTATGGCCAACTCAATTTTCGTCAAGGTCGCTGAGATGTAAATAATGTTAGGGCACGTCATTATTGGCGAGATTGTATGTTAGGGTTGGGGTAAGCATTAGGGCTAGGTGCAGGGTTAGGTTTAAGAATTTGAGGGAGAGGTTAAGTCTCCACATAAACACTGACCTAGGATGATAAAAAATTAGTTCGTGATATTTCCTAGTTTTATTAAAAATACATACAATACATTAGATTTATATACAAAAGCGATTTCACTGTTTTTTGGTGTTGGTGACGCTGATGATCTTCCTTGGGCTATTGAAGAAGGCCATACGCTATACAGTGTGCTATGCGGAAAATTTTGCCAGGTCAACGACACTATGTCCTACTCTTATGTCGAATTCGAACTGGCAAAGGATCTTTACGTGCACGTCAATGTAAACACAAGACCTCGGTTTTTCGTCTCATCCGAACGACTAGACAGCTGTCCTTGTCAGCCCCCCCCCCCCCCATCCTACACTACTGACAAATGGAAACCATGTCGGAAAATCCCAATGAACTTTCTCGGCCAATGCAGGGATCGAACACGTGACCTCATCAAATAGATCTAACCTATATTACACATGATATTATACACTGGCGGCTTTAATTCACAGCAAGGGGGGTTGGATGGCTGAATGGTTAGCGTGCGCGCGCTGTATCATAAAGTCTGTCATTGAGTCGACTGGCGTGGTTTCGAATCCCCGGTTGTACATGGCAAGGAGTAGGGTCGCCTGTCCAACCTCGTGGGTTTTCTCCGGGTCCTCCGGTTTCCTCCCACTGCTAAAGACCCCTACGCGCAAGCGAATTATGTAAATAAAATTAAACCATATGTTAGTCCCGAAATGACCTAGTTTGTGTCGAGTGGACGTTAAACCCCATTTCTCTCTCTCTCTTTAATTCACAGCAGTAATGAAAAAAAAACAATGAGTAGATACATAAAAACATTCTTGAGATGAGAGAGAGAGAGAGAGAAGGAGGGAGAGAGAGAGAGGGGGGGTAACGTCAACTAGTTACCAACATATGGTTCAATTTCATTTCAATAAATCGCTTGCGCGTAGGGGTCTTTAGCAGTGGGAGGAAACGGAAACCGGAGGACGCGAAGAAAACCAACGAGGACCCTACTCCTTGTCACGTACATCCGAGGAATCGAAACCACGCCAGTTGACTCAATGACAGACCGTGTGATACAACGCGCAAGCGCTAACCATTGGGCCATCCGCATATAATAAATACAAATTTTGGAAAAAAGAAAGATAATGATAATTTACCAATGAGCAGTAAGATACCCCACATGATGGAATCCAAATAAATCTTAGATTAAAGAAAGTTTTAGTAGACCTGTTTTATAACAGATTGGTAGAACAAGATTACACGATAACAGATTAGATAAAAGTATCACGATTGGCAATTATTTCTGTATTGTAGGTATAAAGTTCACAGATAAAAATATTGTATATTGTTTTTATTATAATTTTAATAAAAATAAAATTACGATTCTCCCAACAATGGAACTAAACATTAGTGTTGCAATATAATTTGAATAAAAATTTTACAGGCACGTACAAATAGATGGTTTGTTATCATAGAATTTGGTTCGCGAGTATATTCCGTGTGTACTTCTGCTGTAAATGTATCTCCGACTTATTCAAAAATAATCCCGATATGTTAAACCACCATACTATCTGTGATCATAAAACCGTCACACTATGTGTGATCATAAAACCGGCATTCTATCTGTGATCATAAAATCGCCATTCTATCTTTGATCATAAAACCGTCGCTTCGGATAAATGAGCGGATTGAATTCAAATTGCATACCAATCAATGAATGGAACAGCACCTTCATATCTACATGAGCTTATCCATCACCATTCTTCATCTAGAAACAGGGGGTTTGGATGGCTGAATGGTTAGCGTGCGCGCGCTGTAACATAAAGTCTGTCATTGAGTCGACTAGCGTGGTTTCGAATCCCCGGTTGTACGTGACAAGGGTCGCCTGTCCAACCTCGTGGGTTTTCTCCGGGTCCTCCGGTTTCCTCCCACTGCTAAAGACCCCTATGCGCAAGCGAATTATTGAAATAAAATTAAACCATGTTAGTCCCGAAATTACCTAGTTGTATCGAGTGGACGTTAAACCCCATTTCTCTCTCTCTCTCTCTCTCTCTCTCTCTCATCTAGAAACCTTCGATCAAATGATAAATCTCTTCTAACGATTCCCAATTACAACTTGAAATCTTTTGGTGCGCGATCTTTTAAATATACTGGAACAATCTTCCTAACCACCTCACAAACATCCAAAATCTTATCAAAGACATATTTATTTAGACGTTATGTTTAGTGGTGCCTTGGTATTGAACTTTTATTGTTCAGAACTGAACCACAGGCGCTTTGAACATATTCTTTGTGTGGAATAGCGCTATCTAACATTTATTATTATATTATTATTATAAAACCACCATACTATCTGTGATGATAAAACCGTCATTCTATCTGTGATGATAAAACCGCCATACTATCTGTGATGATGCAACCGCCATGCTATCAGGGATGATAAAAAAACCCATACTATCTGTGATGATAAAACTGCAATTCTATCTGTGATGATAAAACCACCATACTATCTGTGATGATAAAACCGCCATTCTATCTGTGATAATAAAACCACCATTCTATCTGTGATAAAACCACCATACTATTTGTGATGATAAAACCGCCATACTATATGTGATGATAAAACCACCATACTATCTGTGATCATAAAACCGGCATACTATCTGTGATCATAAAACCGGCATACTATCTGTGATGATAAAACCCTAATGCTATCTGTGATGATAAAACCGCCATTCTATCTGTGATGATAAAACCGCCATTTTATCTATGATGATAAAACCGCCATTTTATCTGTGATGATAGAATGTTAAAATAATAAAATCTGTGTGAATAAAAAACGGTTTGTTTTGTGTTTCAGGTTTAGTGAAAGAATTCTCCTGATATTTGGTTTTATCGTGTGTCTTTGTGGATATTTTATATTTCTTCCATGGGGTCATGAACTACCAGTCAGAGCTGTAGCAAGTAGGTATTTTAATCAGGTCCCGTCTACACATTTGTGTGCACGTAAAAGATCTCTTGACATCCGGAATTCGCAATAATAGTAGGCCGTAGCGCCATTGTCTAGGCACACTGTTCCCTTCTTCTTTAGCCCAGCTGGTACAGAAAAACAGAACCTTCAACCCCATTATAATACAATATAAAAAGGTGGGTTCAGAGCGTTTTATCTCGATTTTGGCCGGGGAAGTTCCACTGAGATTTCCGGCATGGTTTCTCCTTCTCAGTGGAACAGGACTGAGGGCCTGGTGAGGATCAGAATCTAGTCGTGCAGATGGGATATTTGCGTGCACGTACAAGAACCCCTGACAGTTTGCATTATAAAGAAGAGTGGGCCGATCTCCGGGCAAATTTTCCTGGTAGCTCACTGTATGCCCGTCTTCATTCGTCCAGTCAATGCGGAAAAGTAGGACGTTTAATTCGGTTGCTTTAAAGGAGCTATGACGCTATTTTTTGGCAACTTGCAATTGACACAAATGGGTCGTAACGCATACAATAATGTAATACGAATGTATATAAACTGATTTACATTCAATCATTTCGGTTTTCACTGTAATTTCTAAACAGTCACGTTCGGCGAAATACGCGATGAGTCCAAATTGAATGGCACTCTTTGGCTTCTGGGGGATATGTTTTGCTCTTTCATCGAGCCGCTTCATTACCAATGGCACTCAAAAGTATTCTGGCACGCGATTCGTGTGCCAATTCTAAAATTTTCTTTTTATGTTAAATATATATATATCGGATATCGGAAGCCCACCTGTTCACGGTAAGATTTATATTGACCAATAAGTTTGCAGTATCGAAGACTGTGGATGATATAGAGTTAAGAGACCTACCTCCTTTAACACCACAAACGTCACCTAACATACTTTCTATGAGAGGTCAATCACCACAACAGTCGTGGGAATAAAGGCCGGATCAAATAACAACAAAACGAAACTTTAAACATACATTATGCAAGAGCTAAATCTGCCTATTGCAGGTCTTTCTTTAGGCCTGAAATCTTATCTAAATTGTTAATTAGACCTTAATTAACTTATCCAGGCCATAATCAACTCTCGATGGCATAGCTAGCCTGCGATATTTATTGGATTAGGTTCCGATTTCCTGTTCGACTTCCATTCATAATTTAATCCTGAAGTGGATAATCGAGACTACGTTTTGTATCGTACGGACTTTAGTAATGAAAATCGAGGCTAGACCGAAAATTCAATCGCTAAAATCTCAGTTCATAGTGGATCAATTTGACTGAAATTTTCAGCAAATTGCCTTTACATTATCTAGTTTTTAACTATTATAGTGCGAGCTGTCAGCTCTTTATCTAATCTCCCATAATGTATCTTTAAACAGTACATCTCTGATTTCCTCAACTTGTATTGTCATGCTAGAGAAAACACCCACAGAATATACGACTTAAACCCTTGGTTTTGTTTATCTGTTTAAAAGCTTTCCACGAGGTATTTGACGAAGACAAAACATCTATTATTTTTTTTAATTCCCCCTCTGATCTCTTATTTCTCTGTATAGTATTATTTACATCCTATAAGATTTTCGGCATAGAATAACTTTGATAATTCTAGCGTGTACAAGTCGATTTGATTTTGAAAATACTCGATAATCGAGGCATTCTAGTTATTGATTTTTCTAGAAGGACACTTTGTTACGTCTTGACAAGAGTGCCGTTATACAGCCTCTTTAGTGTTATTCGTTGAAATCAAATGAGGTTTAACTACATAGATTAACCGATTTTTAAAATGGGGTTTATCGTCCGACTTTTTGCACCGACTAGGCTAAGAGTGTACGCTGTGGGGGGACAACTGCGCTACGGCCTAATTTTACAACTGTCAAGGGTTATATTACGTGTATACCAACGTCCCGATTTAGGAAAAAGACCACAAAAGATTTTATCCCAGAGAAGATATAAAATGAAATGGGGTTTAACGTCCTGCTGTTCTGTTCCGACTGGACTAATGAAGAAATTTTGCCGGTGCAGTGGCACTTGGTCTACTCTTATATCGAATTCCAACTACACTGTCCTCGCCAAGCCCTGGGCCCAGCACCACTAACATGGGGAAACCATCCTGGAAAATCCCGGATAACTTTCTCGGCCAACACCGGGATCGTACCCGCAACCTGACTGAGTCACTGCGGCTCCCGGTATTTGTTGAAGTTTGTGAACTAGATAGACATTTGCGCGGGGCGGGGGGGGGGGGGGGGTGATGTTTAACGCGACTTAATCTAAGTCTCGTGGTTTCTATTCACCGCTTGCACGTGACAAGGAGTAGTGTCCAACCGCGTGGCTTTTCTCCGACCCCGCCCCCGACCCCCCCACTACTGCCAAAGAACCCTACGAGCAAGCGCATTATTGAAATTAAAATTCAACTTATGTTAGTCCCCGAAATGACCTAGTTTTTGTCGAATGAACGGTAAAGTCATTTCTCTCTCTATCTCACTCTTGACATTTGCGTGTCGCCTGTGGAAATATACCAGTATATTGGCCTTGAATTGAAGCCGTATCAAATTATAAACTGCACCAGAATAGCTGACAATTAGTTCAAGTGTTGACTCTATTGATTTTCTAGTTGTGAATATACCACACTTCAACCCGTACAACATCTTATTACATTAATAGGTTTTATACCAAACAATATCAGTTAAAGGGGGAAATAATGGCATAACATCAAATTAATCCAGATGACATGCCCATTTTAACATAATATCAAATTGCTATTTGTTATATCAAACAGTAGATTTATCAGTTAAAGGGGTATAGTAGCATAACATCAAATTAATCCAAATAACATCCCCATTTTAACATAATATCAAATTCCAGTTTATTATATCAAACAGTAAATTTATCAGTTAAAGGGGTACAGTAGCATAAAATCAACTTAATCCAAATAACGTCCCCGTTTTAACATAATATCAAATTGCTATTTGTTATATCAAACAGTAGATTTATCAGTTAAAGGGGAAATAGTGGCATAACATCAAATTACAATCCCCGTTTTAACATAATTTCAAATTGATATGTATTATATAGATAATTAAGGGGAATTCTGTTAAACAATGGGTATTTTACAGTGCCAAATGGCTAATATTAATAGAAGTACCTCCTGGACATCTCAGATTTAAAGGGCCAATCCCGATCATATTTTGGAGAATAAAACTGTTTAATTAAAATCCTCTACCTTAGGGCCGAGCAACTAACTCAATATATGTGATACGTGATACCCCTCAGTCTTCGTCTGCATAAAACTAGACTTTTATTTTATAAAAATAAAGTGTAGGTGAAATTTATCTTTTATTATCAAGTACAGCACGTGGGGGATCATGCACTGTAAAGGAACGGCAATAGATTATCGGCTCACCCAACGAAAATAATGACCCGAAGTCTTAAAATGGTTACGTGTCATGGTAAGCGGGTTTGACGTTCAGGCCCAAACGACTTAATATTTTGAGCTGGAATTTTGTGACAAGGAAAAAACACCATACCTTTATAATTTGGCGGTTAAAATTCACATACACGGACTTTTATTTCTGAGACTGTGTAAAAATTCGAGATGGTGCCTTTAATGTGGGTTTGCTAGGCGAGGTTAAATGTTTCTCAACATCATTCCTCGTAAGCTACAATATTGTCAACAGCAAATCTCTAAAACGAATGGGGAGTTGGATGGCCGAATGGTTAGCACGTGCGCGCTGTATCATAAGGCCTGTCATTGAGTCATCTGGCGTGTTTTCGAATCCCCGGTTGTACGTGACAAGGAGTAGGGTTGCCTGTCCAACATCGTGGGTTTCCTGAGTGTCCTCCGGTTTCCTCCCACTACTAAAGACCACTTGGTTCCCACTAGGTTCCCACTATCTTACGATCCGGGACGATACGATTGACCTTATTGAGTTCACGATCTGCTACGTGGAGATACGTTCGAATACAATTGCTACGACTGACCTCAATATATGATAAGACCCGATAGGAACACCACGATTAAAACCACGATTTCAATCGTTGCGCGAATCGTCATAGTGGGAACCTAGCATCAACCACACTGGAAAATACTTTGGAACTTGGAACTTTCTCGACCAACACTCGGACCTACTCACTGAGCCACCGCGGCCAGGATGTAGGGCATGGCTTCATGTTTTACTTCTCAGAAACCCAGTACAAAAGAACCGTTAGCGCCATTGTTATGCCTGTCGATAAAATTCTATAGGGATTATTTTTGAATAATGACATTCTGAAGAAATCTGAAGAAAAACGTTTGATGTTATGTAGGTATGTTTGTATTGATCGGTTAAATTATATAATCGATCCCCACTGCACTAATTGTTCGAAATCAAATTCAAACAGTCGTCAATAGATGGATGACTGGCGCGTTAATTGATCAGGCTGCACTGAATTCGTGTTTTTGTGTGTAAGAAGTCACATCTATTCACCGATGTTTTTCAATGTTTTAAAGTGTGTGTACAAGTTCTAGTGAATACATTATAGTTAAAACTGTTGTTAAAGTCTATTGGGGGTCACGGTGGGTAAGACGCTGACTCGCTAGCCTGGAGGTCGCGTGTTCGATCCTTGCATTGACCGAGAAAGTTCATCCAGATTTTTTCGGCGTACTTCGCCCTTGTCAGTAATACAGAACGGAGGGTCTGACAAGGCCAGCTGTCTAGTCGTTCGGATGGTACGAAAATCCGAGGAAATGTTAGGTAAACTCGTGTGTGAAACTTACGCGTCGCTTGCTTGTGTTCGGTACCGTAACCTCTTTAGATCTAGATCTATTTGACATGGCCAAATGCATATTTCACGAGTTCACGAGATGTGAATAGGGTTAGGGCACATGATTTTTGACGAGGATTGTGGGTTAGGTATCGCTAGCCCTGTTTACATCTCGTGACCTTGAGGAAATTATGCATCAAGCCTTGTCGATGTCTACCATATCCACATCCACTTCTCGGTCCACCCCTGGGACAGGCCAAATATAGAGATGGAGTCAGGCCAAAGGGTATCAAAATGGCGACGCATATGACTCTGGACTGAAGTACTTCTGGACGATATCTAGAATAGAACTAATTCACCAGTTCCACCCCATACACCCTTAAGAATAAATGGGCTGGGGTTTTCCATTACTGAAAGCTATGGATTATTTGGTAAATGTAAATCGATTAATGAAGGCGATGTTCGACTTTTATCTTCCAAGTCCAATACTTGTAGAATAAACTGTAAATTATGATGACATGGAGTTTAACATCCTGGGGTGAGTTGGATGGCCGAATGGTTAGCACGTGCGCATTGTATCATAATGTCTGTTATTGAGTCGACTGTTGTGGTGTCGATTCCCCGGTTCTACGTGACAAGGAGTTGGGTCGCCTGTTCAACCTCGTAGGTTTTCTCTGGGTCCCACTGCTAACAACCCCTACGCGCAAACGAATTATTAAATTAAAATAAAATTGAACAACGTGTTAGTCCCGAAATGACCTAGTTTGTGTCGAGTGAACGTTAAACCCCATCTCTCTCGCTCTCTCTTTCTCTCTCTCTCAAAACTAAGTTATTTTAACCATCTGTTAAACACTTACGGATCCTTATCTTGCTAACGTGTCGTTTGTTAACGGTCTGTTAAATTTCTGTTGCTGGAAAGTCAATTTCATTATCCGTAACGGACTGATTAAATTTAATCCGAGAGAATGTTTGTTCATTGGCTGAATTTTAAAATTTTAAAACTTCATAGAAGTTAGTATTAACAAGAAACTAAAGACAGTGGGACAACTGTGCAGTCTGCTCACAAAACTTGATTAAAGACAAAACGATAACAGTAGAATTTACTACCGAAAACACTATTAAAAAGCTATAGAATACTTTAGATTTTCCTTTAGAGTTTCAGCATAAATATGTAGGAAAAATGATGGGATTTGCACTACAAAAACTGTTGAATATTTCTGGCCATTATCTCCTACAGACCCCCAAAATTCTGTCGAATACTATAGAATTTCATCCTATAGAAAATGGAATAGCACGCCATCGCCCAACCCTCTAGAATGTTCTATATAAAGTTACACCGGTTTGGGAGGTTAATAAATGTCTAAATAGTAGTTTATATACTATTTGAAGTCAAAATATCTCTTACATAATGCATATTAGTATCAAACAACCCCGCCCCTCTCTAAATCTTTCTCATACATCGCTTTTTATTTTTTCAGCTCTAAATCCATCTTTTAATGTTACCACATCTTTAGGTCTGAACAGCGTCACACCTGAATACATTTTAAAAAATATTAGCACGGGAGACGACACCCGATTCCTGTCTTATGATTGGACCGTCGTTAATTCCACGTCAACTCAAGTTCCCATGGTTACCAACGTGACGACGACGGTGGAACCGGAAGGATGTCCAGAATATTACGATTGGTGTTCGTATACGCCTGTTGTTTATTTCCAGCAGTATTTAGCGGGTGTTGCATGTATAGGAGTAGGTTACCCTATATCTCAGATTATGAGCTACACACTGTATTCAAAAATACTTGGACCAATGCCACAGGTAGGACTAAATCTATTGGTATTAATTTAATATGGCCAAAGAGCTCTATACCAGTATTTCACTCGTTTGTGGTTGGTTGGAAGACAGAAGACACGAATCAATTCTCATGTCACGATCGTGTCATTCGGAATCCGAAATCATCAAAAATAATGATACCATTCTCCCATCCAATTCTCGCTATAGAGCAATAGGGCATACTCGATTGAACGTTCCAGAATGAAATTCTCTCAATTCAGAAAATAGTGTCAATCGAGTGAAAAGGGGAATTTTGGAGTACAACGCATGTGCCGACTGTATAAAAAATATCTCAACCAATCATGGCAGCTGAAACATATACATGTGTTACTTAAAATACGTCACGATTCTACTCCCGCCACCTCAGTTGTCAGGACTGACAGAACTGTTACAGGACTGAATTCCGCGTTACTCGATTGCAATTCTGTCAATTCGGGACGTTCTGGACTTTGAATCGAGCATCCCCATAAACAAAGTGTAAGGGAGGTAACTGGTCCTAAAACAAGATAAAATTAATTTAAGAATGCAATTTCAGAAAATCCATTTAATTGCATTGCCATTTCAATATCCAACATTCTTAAAAAAAATATTGTGAAATGTCCCCCTTTAAGGGCCATATCTATGTTGTTGTTTATAATAATGCAAGAATAATGGGATTTATTGCGGGAAGGGGTGCAACTCTTACTTGACTTGGCTAAAGATACTGGATAATCAACCACATAAAATTACAAACCCCCGGTTACGCATGGCCAATGAAACTTTTCGTCAAATATTGACAACGGTCCCAGGAGGTTCTGGGAGACCGAGACTAGCCTACAAATCGCCCAAAGTCGAATATTTTCCCTTTGTGCAGGTGTGACAGAAAGTCCGTAGAAATAGCCTACATGATATTCATCACGGTTTTGTAAAAATAGCCATTTTGTTTTTATTTAAAGTGGGAAAGTTAATCTTTACTCCAAGCCCTGATCGTTCTAATATGAACGCACTGTCTTATCTATTGACCTTTTCTGAACATCTATCTTAAAATAATTTAATATTACTTAACATAAATCTTAGTCATTGAGCGCTGACAAGGAGAGTGCTGTGCTTCGACGTATTAGAGCTACGCACCCCAGCATAAGAAGTTCTAATATACGTCAAGGTATTACAAACCGAGCACGCTCGCAATATGATAAATATAGCCCACGTCCCAATCTAACCTAAACGTATTCACCAGATAATTACCAATTTTTTATTGTCACTGCAATCCATTTGTTTTACTCTCTACGGGATTCTCCAAATAAATACCAATTGTAGTTTTAAAACTAAAAGAAGTAAACAACGTCTTCTTTTCCCACGAGATGGCTTCTCTAATAATCTAATATAAATAACTATTTTTTTATCTATAAACATACATTATGTACGAGCTAAATCTGCCTTTTACAAGTCTTTATTTAGGCTTCAGATGTTATAGAAATTATTAATTAGACATTGATTAAAGATACATTATGTAAGATTTAGATAAAGAGCTAGCCATTCTTGCTATAATAGTTCGAACATAGATAATGTAGAATGAATAATTTGAAAATTTCATTCAAATTACTCTATTGTGAGCGAAGATATTAGCCTTTGAAGGTTTGACAAGACGTGTGCAATAATTTCAACCGCCGTACTGGTTGTTCAAAGCTAAGTCTCGCTCCTCCATTTTTAGCTTAAAACAAAATTATGGCTTAACTGTTCTAATCTATTTAATATCGGAGAAATCCGATGCCATCAAGGGTTGATTATAGCCTGTCTAATTAATAATTTGGAAAACATTTCAGGCCTAAAGAAAGACACGCAATAGGCAGACTTAGCTCTTGCATAATGTATTTTTAACTTATCCAGACCATAATCTACTATCGATGCCATCGTTAGCCTGCGAAATTTACTGGATTGGAATCTGATCTGCTGCTTAACGCTCATTCATGATTACATCAAAAAATGGATAATCAGCAAATTCCCTTCACATTATCTAGTTTTTAACTATTATAATGAGAACTGCCAGCTCTTTATCTAATCATAGGATCTAATCTTCCATAAAGTATCTTTAATAAATAAAAACATACACCGAAAAGGAAGTCGTCCTCTCCCACGGGGAATATACTCTGATAATTTAATATAAATAACTGGGTTTTTTTTAATGTAATAATTAATGATATAAATATCTTTGTTAACACGAATATCCAGGTAATAAGCCTAATTGGTTATATTTCACAGGTAAAAAATAGTTCATAAAACACTAATACTAAAAATAAGACATTGTGAAAATAGATGCTAATATTTTCATTTTAGCTGCAGATGTAGGCCATTGATATGAGAGAGAGAGAGAGAGAAATGGGGTTTAACGTCCACTCGACACAAACTAGGTCATTTCGGGACTAACATATGGTTTAATTTTATTTACATAATTCGCTTGCGCGTAGGGGTCTTTAGCAGTGGGAGGAAACCGGAGGACCCGGAGAAAACCCACGAGGTTGGACAGGCGACCCTACTCCTTGTCACGTACAACCGGGGATTCGAAACCACGCCAGTCGACTCAATGACAGACTGTATGATACAGCGCGCGCACGCTAACCATTCAGCCATCCAACCCCCCTAGGCCATTGATATACTCAGGGATTTAAATTGCTTGTGGTATTAATTACTTACAAAACAAATATAAAATAGAGATCTTCTATTATATTCGAGGGAGTCACGGTGGCTAAGTGAGTAAGACGCAGGCTTGCTAGCCTGAAGGTCGCGGGTTCGATCCCTGCATTGGCTGAGAAAGTTCATCGTGATGTTACGTCGTGGTTTCCCCTTGTCAGGGGTGCACCACGAAGGGACTGACAAAATGTCTAGTCGTTCAGATGGCACGAAAAACCAAGGTCCCGTGTACACATTGGCGTGCACGTAAAAGATAAGTTGGCAGTTTGAGTAGGCGTAGTGCTGCTGTCCGGGCAACATTTCCCTCATAGCACACTGTATGGCGTATGTCTGTCTTCATTAGCCCAGCCCAGTCGGAGCTGAACAGTAGGACATTAAACTCCATTTCATTTCATTTTTATTATATTTGAGTGTATGGCGTATTGGATTGAAGTGATCTGAAAATGAAATGGGGTTTAACGTCTTACTGTTGGGCATGAATCGGGATAATGAAGACTATGGGCGAAGATGTTTTAGGATTAGTGTCTCGCATTGTCGATAATTAGAAAAAAAAACGTCATTCCGCCATGTTGACGTTAGTTTCATCTACGGTGACCCATTCGCGTCAGAATTCGAGTTACGTTTTATTCGAATCTGTTTATAACATTCGAATTTTTGTTTAGTGGATGTTTCTATACTTTTAATATTTTATTAAACATACATTATGCAAGCGCTAAATCTGCCAATTGCAGGTCTTTCTTTAGGCCTGAAATGTTTTCTAAATTAATTAGACATTAATGAACTTATCCAGACCATAATCAACTCTCAATGTCATCGCTAGCCTGCGCTATTTTCTGGATTAGAATCCTATCTGCTGCTCAACGCTCATTGATAATTAAATCAAAAAGTGAATAATCGAGACTTTGTTTTTTTATCGTACCGACTTTAGTAATGATTTTCAGTATATTCCCTTTACATTATCTAATTTTTAACTATTATAGCGAGAACTACCAGCTATTTATCTAATCTCCTATAATGTATCTTTAAGGAATGTGTTGTGTGTAGACAAAACGAATAATTATTTTTATTGCAATTTGTTTAATGTCGAGCCTCCAACCTCGTGGGTTTTTTCCGGGTCCTCCGGTTTCCTCCCACGGCTAAAGACCCCTACGCGCAAGCGAATTATTGAAATAAAATTTAACCATGAATTAGTCCCAAAATGACATAGTTTGTGCGAGTGGATGTTAAACCCCATTTCTTTCTTTCTCTCTCTCTCTCTCTCTCTCTCTCTCTCTCTAATGTCCAGCCATGTATTGACTGGATTAAATGTTCCTTGATTACCTTGTATATAATGTATATTTACAGGCGGTGTGGATGGGATGGTTAACGGCAGCAGGTAGTGCTGCTAGGGCTGTAGGACCAATATTTGTTACTCAGATATACGATGGTTATGGACCTAGGGTGACCTTCAGTGCTTGCTGTGGAGTTTTGGTTTTAGCCCTGATTGGTATGGGTATCGTTTATAAAAGACTCGTCCCTCTTCAAACATCCATAACCGTTCTAGCGTCTCCAATTCAAAATGGCCACAGACCGCCAAGTGCATGATGGGAAGTAAACAGAAAATAATGGCGGCGGATATAGTGATTTGTAAAACACCATTTAGATACAATAATCCACTAAAAACTAAAAAATTGAACTACTCAAAGACAAAACATTTTTTTAAAAACTATTTTGAAGTGGAAAATGAATTTGTTTTAATGATGTTCTTGTCTTAAATGTTTCCTGTTAATTGTGCGAAACACGAAACATGGTGGGTGTCAGGAGAATTAAGGATTCCATGTCAAATACTGTTTGTGAGACCGCCCGGTGATAACTCGAAAAATAATGTTTGAATTACATTGAAGAGAGAGAGAGAGAGAGAGAGAGAGAGAGAGAGAGAGAGAGAGAGTTTAACGTCCACTTGAAACAAACTAGTTCATTTCGGGACTAACATACGGTTCAATTTTATTTCAATAATTCGCTTCGCTGTAGGGGTCTTTAGCAGTGGGAGGAAACCGGAGGACCCGGAGAAAACCCGAGGTTAGACGGGCGAGTAACGTTATAGACAGACTGGCGTTACGACCAAGAGTAGATGGGTAGGCTGACGTTATCGCCATAGTGACGTTACAACCAAGACTAGAGTTACGTTACACACGCAAGAGTAGAGCGACGTTATAGCCAGATTGACGTAACGCGCAATAATAGAGCGACGTTATAGCCAGATTGACGTAACATTCGCAATAATAGATTGACGTTATAGCTAGGCTGACGTCAAAACCAATAGAAATGAATGACGTAACAATCTGGTATTGATCATTTTAATTGACAATATTAACTCACGTGGTTTACATTAATCCCATTGAAGGATGTACCTGAAAGATTTTCCTCTATAAAAATTACAGATTTAAACCGAGAAATTCTTTATTACTGATTTAGTTTACTGGTGCCTAATACGGTGTTTAACAACAGAGCTAATGGATAGACATTAATGTGAATAATGAACTCTATAATACGGACCACTTGGTTGGTGGCAGGGGATCAATCCCATTGGGTTAGTATCAATCTTTAAAGGCACCTAAATCCATGGAGTTTTAACTATCCTGCATCTAGCGAATGACATAACTGACCCGCATTACCCCTACAGTCCTAAGGTCTGATATATTTTCGGTAGTTTTAACGCCATTGAAATTGAAATCGAGCATGTGCCGCAGACACAAAACAATCTTTCTTTAAAATAATCAGATTGGGCTATTGTGTTCATGGGGTTGTAAAGTTTATTCCCAGAAAATCGGATATCCGTGGAGAGAGAGAGAGAGAGAGAGAGAGAGAGAGAGAGAGAGAGGACCTGGTGAAAACCCACGAGGTTGGACAGGCGACCCTACTCCTTGTCACGTACACCCGTATCCGTGGTGACGAGAAAGGTATATTGGTCAAGGTTCTGTTTGAAACATAATAGTTATAACATCAATAGATCTCTGTTTTGGTTAAAGCAATAAAACTTTCAATTAAACTTTCACATGTTAATTTGTTTTGTAATTTTGATATCTCTTTACATTTCAAGTTTTAGGCTCATAGATTGAGCCAATGTTGAGATACAGTCAGAAGCAATCTGGTTAAAAGTTTTAAACACTGCAGATCTTATTTCGTTTCGTGTTTATAGTTCAAAATGTTGTTTTACTTGTCTTTACTACATTAGGAACTGGAAGAGATGTTACCATTGACATCTTCTGGATGATGTGTGGGTTTAGCAAATAAAACAGTCTGTTACAGCGAGATTTGGGCTTGTGGTGCACGGAACTGTGGGTAATCCACTAGAAACATCAATGCTGATTGGTTAATCAAATGTCTGACGTCATAGGTCAAAAGCCGCTTGAACGACCTCTTACACGACATATCACTACAACCGGTCAGATCTTCATGTAGTGTAGGCCATCGAAAGTATAAAAAAAAAGAAACGAAATATAGATGTGTATTTAAATCTGATTGAGTGAGTAGCTGATCAAGTCTTAGAACCGACCCAGGAATTAATGCACCGTAGGTGTCTTTAGCAGTGGGAGGAAACCGGAGGACCCGGAGAAAACCCACGAGGTTGGACAGGCGACCCTACTCCTTGCCACGTACAACCGGGGATTCGAAACCACGCCAGTCGACTCAATGACAGACTTTATGATACAGCACGCGCACGCTAACCATTCAGCCATCCAACCCCCCGTGGAGAGAGAGAGAAATGGGGTTTAAGTAACGTCAACTCGACACAAACTAGATCATTTCGGGACTAACACATGGTTCAACTTTATTTCAATAATTCGCTTGCGTCTAGTGTGAGGAAACCGGAGGACCAAGGGAAAACCCACGAGGTTGTACAGGCGTCCCTACCCAATATTTATATATAAGAAAACTTTACTATACAATCAGCTCAAGATTTAAAAATACATAACTTAAGAGTTAAGTAAAGAGTTGGCCATTCTTGCTATAATAATTCAAAAGTATTCTCGATTATCAAGTAACATTCTGAATGGCTACGGTGCCCTCCATTAACAGGCCTTTCATCGGCAGCCATTTATTGATTTAATTATTAAATGGACAACTGTTTAAATCCAAAATGGTGTCTGAGAGGAAGCAGACCAGATCCACACAGTTCAAGCTATTCCAACTGTGGAATTCTTATAGAAACCAAACTGTTAGCAACAACCAGTTATTAAAAAGATGCGGGGGAATCTATGGACCGACAAACTGACTGAAGAACAAACTTAATAAGAAAATGATGAAAAAAATCCACATAAATGTATTATGTGTTGATGTAATAAAATGTATTTAATAAATTGTTGATATCTCGACTCGTGTATTAAACCAAACAAAAATAAGTTGGGATGAGTTGTCTTTTATCTTGGGATGAGTTGTCTTCTATCTTGGGATGAGTTGTCTTTGGGATGAGTTGTCAGATATTCCCCCAAGCCGTCCGTGGTTATACAGAGTTAATTTTGAGCTTGTCCTGTATATAAAGGTCTAATTAATAATTTCTATAACATCTGAGGAATAAAGAAAGACCTGCGATAGGCAGATTTGGCTCTTGTATAATGTATGTTTAATGTCACTTTTAACTAACAGTAATTTCATCCAAATTTATTTATCTTTAATGGCTACGAACTGCTCAGGGGAACGCTCTCTTTCGCAACTAAAAAGAATTAAAGATGTTAAACGATCAACGATGGGTCAAAAACGTCTTGATATACTGGCATTTCTCTGCATTGAAAGTGATTTACTTCATAAAATTGACTTTAAAAAACTAACTGACGAATTTGCAGTCACAAAAGCAAGCAAAGTCGTAATCTAGCTAGGCAGTGAATGGGAATATGTATGCTACTTATAGTAAATAAAGTACTGTCAATATTCTGAATTTGTTTGTAATAAATTTTCTGTTGCTAAATTTAACTTAATTCCTTTTGGCAATGAGCTCAACATAGCTTTAATCAGGCACTGCTTGCCACTGTTTTCACCTGTCGAAATCACAGATCAAGTAGGCTCAAATTCATGATCTCATTCTAATGGGCTAAATCAGAGGCTAAGTGAATGGGACTAAATGACACGCTTAGCATCATGGGTTCGAAATTTTTTGCGTCCTCTCTAGATTTGTTGACAAGGCTAATGGAGACGGGCGGCATACCGTGAGCTATGATGGAAATTGTGCCCGGACAGCGGAGCTAGGCCTAATCATGTATTCCATCTGTCAAGGGTTCTTTTTAGTACACGCTAACGTGTGCACGATACCTCCATTTTCCTTCCCATCCACACGGCTAGACGTTCCTTACCGAGCACTCCGTCCTGCACTAACAAGGGAGAGAGAGAAATGGGGTTTAACGTCCACTCGACACAAACTAGGTCATTTCGGGACCAACATATGGTTTAATTTTATTTACATAATTCGCTTGCGCGTAGGGGTCTTTAGCAGTGGGAGGAAACTGGAGGACCCGGAGAAAACCCACGAGGTTGGACAGGCGACCCTACTCCTTGCCACGTACAACCGGGGATTCGAAACCACGCCAGTCGACTCAATGACAGACTTTATGATACAGCGTGCGCACGCTAACCATTCAGCCATCCAACCCCACCACTGACAAGGGGAAGCCAAGCCGGAAAATCCCGAGGTCAAAAGGTTAGGGAACTCTAGGTTAGCAAACCAGTGCCTTAATCACTGGTCCTTTTTTGACAAGCACTGGTATGATGTTCAGATATGATCTTATACTTCATACTCAGAGGAGTTGGATGGCCGAATGGTTAATGCGTGCGCGTTGGATCAGAAGGTCTGCCAATGAGTCAAGTGGCCTGGTTTTGATTGCCCGGATGAACGTGACACGGAGTAGGGTCAACTGCCTCACGTCGGGGGTCTTCTCTGGGTTATCAGATCCCCCCCCCATATCTAAAGACCCCTACAAGCAAATGCGAATTATTGAAATAAAATTGAACCGTATTTTAGTCCCGAAATGACCTAGTATGTGCCGAATGGAACCCCCTCCCTCTCTCTCTCTTCATTGATCCAGACAAATCAAACACAATAAAAGAAAAACAATGATTTTATTTTTATATTTTAAATATATTTATAACTTACAACAGAATGTGGATAAATTACCCAATGTATGATCACATTTCATGATGAATTATAATGTCTCTGGTATGATTTATACAAGATTATTATGACGTGGTAACCATAGAAACCATATGACAATACTTAAAGGCCCATTACTCTAGAATAGAGGGCAATAACTGACTTTCAGACCAAACACAATACTCTAGAATAGATGGCAAAGACAGACTTTCAGATCGAACACAAAAGTCTAAAATCGATGTGACAGACAGGCTTTCAGAGGATATATGGCAAAGATAGACTTTCGGCGGATATACAATGCTCTAGAATAGATGGCAATGACAGACTTTCAGAGCGTATACAATACTCTAGCATAGATGGTAAAGACAGACTTTCAGAGCGTATATCATAGATGGCAATGACAGACTTTCAGAGCATTTACAATAAAATCTTAGTTAAAATTGATCAATTCACAAGGCTTTTTTATTTTTTTCAAACAATGATTTTTAATTTCCTGCCATTTCTCTCTAGGAACAGGTAAACTAGCTATATTCTTTTTGTTTTATTGGTCTAAATTACAAGGCAAAAAATACAAGAACCCTTCAACTGTTATTTAAATAGGAAATCTGATTCTTGATCATCTGTCGTAGTTCATTTTGTAAACTTTTTTGGCAAATATAAATCTACCTGAACAAAAAAATATCCGCGAAATCCCCCACGTAAAATTTTATTTGATATAAGATCTTCGACCACCCCACTCCCTATTCAAAACAAACAGCCAATTAATACATGTATCTTAATAGACCAATAGTCCTGGATCTGACAATGGATATGTAGGAAAGTTTGAGTAAGGAGAATTTTTTTGAAAAAATGTATAGTAGGTGGCTTTAGTCAGTAATTTGGACTTGAGTGGACACTCACCACGTCGTAGGTTATTCCCCTTTGACTTCATCAAAGATGGCCACCAACGTTATTTCAATTTTATTCTACCTGTTAGTTTTCTATCAATGTTTATGAAATAAAGGTCAGAATGAAGCTGTCTATGCGTACTAAAGCAAAAAATATATTTATTATTAAACTTTTATTAATTTTTCATGAAAATAATACCAAATTTTTAAGTGACAACACGAAAAAAGCTCTAAAAGTTCAAAATATTTACTTCGGCGCCCACTAAACATTTCTACAAAAAAATTCTCCCAACTCAAACATTTCTACAGAACCATAGTCAGATTCTGGATTACAGACTATGTCTCCAAGAAAACTACCCGTTTTGGGCCTAAATCCAAAATATTATGCAAATTAACAAAATGGCGCAAGAGAGAGGTAGAGAGAGAGAGAGAGATGGGTTTAACCTTCATTGGACACAAACCCGGTCATTTCGGGACTAATTATTTCAATAATTCGCTTGTGCGTAGGGATCTTTAGCAGTGGGAGGATCAGGAGAAAACCCACGAGGTTGGACAGGCGACCCTACTCCTTGTCACGTACAACCGGGGATTAGAAACCACGTGCAAGCGAATTATTGAAATAAAACTGAACCATAGGTTAGTCTCAAAATGATCTAGTTTGTGTCGAATGGACCTTCAACCCCATTTCTCTTTCGCTCTCTCTTACAGCAATATCGGTTCTAGGCTGATTAAACTCTGGTATCGCAGACATTTTTCAGCCTGATAAAAAGATAATATATATATATTACTAAAATAAATTCAATATTTAAATATTATTATAATTGACTTAAATATATTTATTAAATTTTACAGAATTCAATACGAAACTTGTTTACGCAACAGCCTGAGATAGACGAGATCTTAGGGACTTTTCGCAAGCGGAATTTTTCCCATCCATATCACGTATCCGTATCGTCATGGATACGTTGCGTCAATGTATTTTTTGAGTATTGGCAGATTTTTGCGTCGCATACGTATGGGTAGCTGAGCTGAGCTTTATGGTTCTATTACAGCATTATGGCAGTTATCTACCAAGATCAACATCAGTAGTAGTCAAGTGCCTAGCCTACAAATTCCTGAAAGGAGTGTCGAATCTTATTAAAAATTGTCGACTTCCATTCGACAGCAACTTTTGGTTTCACTAATGTATCATTTCAGAAAGTATATACATACCCCTTTTACAGATTTGCAAGGTCCCACCTCCCTAAATTTAGCATGTTGATCAACCAGCATGTAGACAAACTAGAAAAATATGATAATTCCGTAAAAATAATGATTAACTTCCAGTCTTTATCATGGTTAAAATCATATAAAATATAACCCTTCGTGTTCTTGGATACACATAGGTTCATACAAACGCTATGATACAACATTTCAACTTCTAAAAGTAGCAAAAATACGGTAAAAAGACGACGATGTTATACGGACCTTTTCTGTATAAATGCTGTTCGATACGTGCTGTCGAATGACGTATGAGAAATACACACGTATTGATGACGTCACACACAATATCGATATGGATACATGATACGGACCAGGAATTTACTATTGCCCAAAGTCTCTATTAATTTTAAACGATCAACATTTAATAATTAAAATAATTGATTTTCAGACACACTAGATTTAATATTTCACATAAAATTTATAGAATTTGTGAAACTTGTTTACGTGATATAGCCTGAGATAGACAAGATACATTTCATTAAATAAAATAGAATATTTTAATACAATTTATAGAATTTAAAGTAAACAATCAACAAAAACAACATTTAAAAATTTTGACAAACATTAAGGCCACTTATAATTAACAACAAAGAGACATTATTATATATTAATCAACAACATATATATTAATAATAACAGGTGGTTACGATGTTTAGGGCTGTCAGTAATTACTCCCGATTCGACTCGAGGTTATTTCAGAATCGGGTGGCGTGGATCCGTCATCTTCAACGACGACAACAACTGAGTAACGTCCTTTTTCAGCTAAATCTATTTGTTAAGGCCAGTTCAATTTTTGTCAAGGTCACTGAGATGTAAATAAGGTTAGGGAACGTGATTGTTGGCGAGATTGTAGGTTAGGGTTTGAGTTCATGTACAATGTAAGTAAGCATTGGGGCTAAGTCCAGGGTTAGGATAAGGTTTGGGATTAGCGCTATAGCCCTGTTTACATCTCGTGACCTATGACGAAACATTAAGCTGGCCTTATCATTTAGGATAGTGCCTTGAAGTGTGCACTGAAAATTAATGGATTGAGCGAACACTTACCCAAGAAGTCACTTTATTAACCCTATACTCACAAAATTTACAACTGAAATATTTAACAAATGATGCCTTTTCATTGGTTAAAAGGTATAACTTGTATTAGTATTTAAATTCTTGGCCAATGAAAATGTTGAATTATTGTTCAAATATTAAACATATATTATGCAAGATGTAAATCTGCCTATTGCAGGTCTTTCTTTAGGCTGGAAATGATATATAAACTATTAATTAGACATTTATTAACAAAACAAGACCATAATCAAATCTCCCTGTCATCTTATGTGTCGTATTTTCTTTGGATTTGAATCCGATCTGCTGCTCAACTTCTGTTATTGATTAAACGCAAAAATGGATAATCGAGACGAGACTTTGTTAATTATCGTAACAGCAGTAACAATGACAATCGAGGCTACAGGATTTTAAAATAGGGTTTTCTCGGCTTAGAGTGAAGCAATTTGACTGACATTTTCAGCATGATTCATTTACACCATCTAGTTTTTAACTATTATAGTGAAAACTGTCAGCTCTTTATCTAATCTCCCATAATGTATCTTTAAACATACATTATGCAAGAGCTAAATCTGACAATTGCAGGTCTAACTTTAGGTCTAAAATGTTATCTAAATTATTAATTAGATATTTATTAAATTATCCAGACCATAAGCATCTCTCGATGGCATCGCTAGCCTGCGATATTTACTGGATTGGAACGTGGTCTGCTACTTCTGATTGAATCAAAAAATGGATAATCGAGACTATGTTTTTCTATCGTAACGACTTTAGTAATGATGATCGAGGTTAGGCCAAAAATTCAATAGCTAAATACTCGGTTCAGAGTGGATAAGTTTGACTGAAATTTTCAGCAAATTCCCCTTACATTATTTAGTTTTTAACTATAATAGTGAGAACTACCAGCTCTTTTTATCTAATCGCCTATAATGTATCGTTAAGATATGGTTATAAGGCCGTAGTTATCATATAAACAAGGAATATTTTGTGTTCAAGGCTACCATTGGCTATAAAACCATATCAGGTAAGGCTTTTGGTTTCAAGGCATCCATTACGCTCTTTCTGTTGGATTAAGGCACCCAGAACTTTTTGTGTAGGCATCAATATGAAACTTGATGTAAATTAATCAATAATATTATAAAGACATTAAGTAATTGGAAAGAGCAATAAACTATAACACATACTTATTTATTTGGGTGATGTTTAGAATAATATTAGCAAGATATAGATCCTATTTCGTTTCGTTTTTATAGTTCAAAATTTCGTTTTACTTGTCTTTACTACACTAGGATCTGGAAGAGTTGTTATCATTGACGTGTTCTGGATGGTGTGAGGGATTAGCCAATGAAATGGTCTGCTACAGCGAGTTACAGGCATGTTTTGCAAGAAACTGATAAATCCACTAGTAACATCAATGCTAATTGGTTAAACAAATGTCTGACGTCAAAGGGCAAAACGCCACCCGTATGATTCCCTGACACGACCTCCCAGTACAACTGGTCAGATCTTGATGTAGTGTAGGCCATCTAAAGTATAAACAAACGAAACGAAATATACATCTGTATTTTAATCTGATTAAGTAAATATTTGTGGATTAGAAAATCGACCCCATTATAAGATCCTGGTTAAATTTAAGAACTGGTTTAAAATTATAAAAAGACCTTGATTCTCAGAATTAAAAAAAACAAAAAAATGTTTACCTTATAAGTAGGTAATTATTATAGTTAAACTTTATAAAGACCTTAATTTTATTATTCTCAGATTAAATTAAATTTTAAAAACAAATGAAGAGTCCAGGGGAAGAACGATCTAAGTCACATTTTTGTCTTTTTGCATAAAAGGCAAAACAGACTTTTGGACGAGAATGCTTGATGCGAACAGAACAACGAGTGGGTTTAGTTACAACTTCAAAATGATGTTTAATACGAATCATAATTACCAGTACAACAACTGACTTACACTTTTCAGCCAAATTAAGGTCAAATAAATACGATGGACTTGTATTTGTCCGGGAGGCCATTTCAGAAGGGCCTTGGTTTGATGTGACTCTGATCGTTTTTACCTGAAATTGATTGTTCCACAGAAAGCTTATACAATTTGCTATCAGATGGCGCCATTAACTGAAGTTCGTTGAAAAAGTGACTTAGATCGTTCTTCCCCGGGGCTCTTCAAATTTTAATAAATACATGTGATCTATTGTATTTAATCATTGATTAAATGTGGTTTGATATTCAAAATGGGTATTTAAGGTTTTTTTTAATATTTTGATTTTGACCCCTGTAAATATTCACAGCTTATATAAAATATAGGTTGTCCGGCAACAAAAATTACACACAAGTGATTTGAGCAATGTTGTCTCCCTTTTCTTTTCTTTTGTAGGTAATGGGAGCATTTACAAGACATTAAAACCTGTCAAGGGCAATAATCCATCAAGTAATTATGAGAAATAGTTAATTACAAACATTGTTGAAAATCAATAGGATTCTACCTCTCATTAACATAGACACTGTGCATCCACTTAAAGTCAGTATGATGAGACAACTTCAGCCTCTAGAACTTCCACAAGTATTATCTGAGCTTTCTCAAGAGCAAAACACCACTCTCGCAAATTTTAAAACTTCCAGGCATGTCCCTGATATTGGAAACTCTGTCCTTCGTCCCATTTCATTAAATCATTTGGCTGACCTACTTCTGTGGTCAAAAGTTCTGTCACGAACACAAATAAATATTTTTTTCACAGGGATTGTTCATAATTAAAGTGTCATGGAAGTTATTCCAAATGAGCCCACAGTTAATGAAAAAAAAAACAATCTATGAATAGTGAATAAGTATTAGTTCTGGTACTATTTCATTCATAATAAGTCTTATAATACTTAATCAAGAACCGCAACTCTGCACAAAACAGTCATATCACACTGAATATACACAGTTTATATTTTGGTCCTGGACTTCAGTCACTTCTTTTATTGTTTCAAGGGCTGTAACTCTTACTAAAACAGATACAAAACACTGAAAACACATGTTTATATTTTGGTCCTGTTCTTTGTTTCAAGTCAACTGAAACTTTTATTATCTGTTCAAACTACAAAATCAAGGGTTGTAACTCTGTATAACACAGCTTTATCACTACTTAATCAAGGGCCATAACTCTGTATAAAACAGTTGTATCACTGTTTAATCAAGGGCCATAACTCTGTATAACACAACTGTATCACTACTTTATCAAGGGCCATTACTCTGTATCACTACTTAATCAAGAGTCACAATTGTAGTAAACTGTCACATCACACTCATGCTACTGTATTAATCAGCTGTGTCACTACCTAATCAAGGGCTGCAACTCTGTAATAAACAGCGCATTTTGCCCAAAACTACTACATCAAGGGCCACAACTCTGTAATAAACAGCTAGCTACATCTTACTCGAATCTACTTAATCAAGGGCCATAACTCTGTATAACCATTATATCACACTTCACACTCAATATCTAATCAAGGGTCATAACTATGTATAAAATAGTTGTATTACGCTCAATACTCAAGGGCCATAACTCTGTATAAAACGGTTGTATCACACTATGTTTCAATGAATCACAATGAAAACAGTTTATGTTTTGGTTGAATGCCTTCCACGGGTGCGGGGATTTTTTCCATTGCTTTTTTAATACGCTCGACTCGCTCCTTAGCGGTTAATTTACGATATCCATCACACACTGCCGATATCGGGTCATCTGGAACACACTGTATATCTGACGATGATGAGCTGCCTTTTGGGATCGATTGAAGGGAATCTGGACTACTTGGAGTGCGTGGCGACGAAATCATGTGACCATTTATAGAATTTGATTCGCTGATTGACATCAATGAGGTGCTGTCAGGAGACAAGGGTGCTAGATGTTGATTGGTGGAATGTGGTAAATGCTCGTTAGTTTCATTAACATCCCTTTTCAACTGTAGAAGTTCAATCTCCATAGCACGTTGATTAGCCTGTAAATATACATATATATATATATCATAAAATTAGTTCCTCGCAAAAAAAACCCAAAGCCAACAGTGAGAGAGAGAGAGAGAAATGGGGTTTAACGTCCACTCGACACAAACTAGGTCATTTCGGGACTAACATATGGTTTAATTTTATTTACATAATTCGCTTGCGCGTAGGGGTCTTGAGCAGTGGGAGGAAACCGGAGGACCCGGAGAAAACCCACGAGGTTGGACAGGCGACCCTACTCCTTGCCACGTACAACCGGGGATTCGAAACCACGCCAGTCGACTCAATGACAGACTGTATGATACAGCGCGCACACGCTAACCATTCAGCCATCCAACCCCCCCAAAGCCAACAGTGAGGCTGATCTCAATATAAATACATGACAGTCATACATGAAGAGCACCTGGGAAAAACGATCTAATGAACCTCAGTTAATGGCGCCATCTGGTAGCAAACTGTATAAGCTTTCTGTGGAACAATAAATTTCAGGTAAAAAAGATCGAGGTCACATCGAACCAAGGCCCTTCTTAAATGGCCTCCCGGACAAATACAAGTCCATTGTATTTATTTGACCTTAATTTGGCTAAAAAGTGGAAGTCAGTTGTTGTACTGGTAATTATGATTCGTATCAAACATCATTTTGAAGCTGTAATTAAACCCACTCGTTGTTCTGTTCGCGTCAAGCATTCTCGTCCAAAAGTCTGTTTTGCCTTTTATGCAAAAAGACAAAAATGTGACTTAGATCGTTCTTCCCCTGATCTCTTCAGTTTCATCGCTCGACCCACAATTGGAAGCAGAGTTATTGCATTCTAAAGTCTCCACTAATCAAATTGCTAATCTCTGCTTAGCTTCAATTAGAAATCTAATGCTTAGCTTCAATTAGAAATCTATGAGTGACTACTCTAGGACGGCTACTTGCCAATTTTCTTTACACTCACTGCGGAGTAACCTTACCAGCTAAGAATTTCATAACTCAGGTCACCACAAACGAGAAACTGAATCCAGAGTCAAACATTACCTAGGGAGAAGTTGACCCTTTACTGAAACGACTCGGATAGGTATATTATAATCCATTACCTTGATTTCTATTAAGCGCTGCTGTAATTTCTGATATGGTGGGGAATCTTTATACTGAGCTGTGTTTCGTAGAATTGTGTCTAACTTTGTTATTTCTGCTGCTTGAATCAACAAACAATGCTCAATTTCTTCGTGCTTACGTTGTAATTGATCAGAAAAAACTCGGAATTCATCAAAATGTCCATTACTGGTATTGGTGTCGCCTGACTCACTGGGTGATTGCTAAAATCACAAAATATTATTTCTTTGATAGGCATTTAAAGATACATTATGGAATAGTATACAAGAGCTGGCAGTTCTCACTATAACAGTTATAAAATAGGTAATGTTAAGGGAATATGCTGAAAATTTCAGTCAAATTGCTTCAGACTAAGCTGAGAAACCTCATTTTAAAATCACTGTTGTTTTGATTGTCATTGTTACCGCCGTCACGATAATTAACAAAGTCTCGATTATCCATTTTTGCAGTTAATCATCAATGGGCTTTGAACAGCAGATCGGATTCAAATCCAATGAAAATTGGACACATAAGATGGCATCAAGGGTTGATTATGGTCTGGATAAGTTAATTAATGTCTAATTAATAATTTAGATAACATTTCAGGCCTAAAGAAAGACCTGCAATAGGCAGATTTAGTTCTTGCATAATGTATGTTAGAACACATATTAACATGGCAAGGTTTGAAAGAGAAATGAGATTTAACGTCCACTCGGCACAAACTGGGCCATATTGGGACTAACATATGGTTCAATTTTATTTCAATAATTCGCTTGCGTGTAGGGGTCTTAAGCAGTGGGAGGAACCCGGAGGACCCAGAGAAAACCCACGAGGTTGGATAGGTGACACTATTCCTTGTCATGTACAACCGGAGAATCGAAACCATGCCAGTTGACGACTTATGATACAATAAGAAATACATCCAACCCCCTAATATAATACAATAAGAAATATACTTACTTCCATGGTATAAACGGATGGTGAACTACAGACTGTATATAGACTGGGTTGAGGTGAACCAGCTGAAACTGAAAGTAGAATAAAATAACATTACTTTAGGCCATGTCCCATGTAAGCGTTTTCAACCCATCCGACCAACCCCACTATGGCCTACCCTTACTCATATTTTCGTTCCATCCGAATGACTAGACAGCTCTCCGTCCTGCACCACTGACCAAGCGAAACCACGCCAGGAAATCTCTCTAGTAAGTCCCAACCCACCAAGCTCCAGTAAGTCCCAACCCACCAAGCCCCTGTAAGTCCCAACTCACCAAGCTCCAGTAAGTCCCAACTCACCAAGCTCCTGCAAGTCCCAACTCACCAAGCTTCTGCAACCTACCAAACTCCTGTAAGTCCCAAATCACCAAGCCCCTGTAAGTCCCAACTCACCAAGCCCCTGCAAGTCCCAACCCACCAAGCCCCTGCAAGTCCCTGTTCCCCAATTTTCATTTCATTTGGCATTCTCGATATCTAGTTTAAGAGATTATTTATAATCACTCACCTGAACTACTGCTGTCGGACCAAACAGACGAGTAGGCACCTCCAGAATATTGGGTGTCACAGGTATTACCTGATTGGGGATACCCAAACATCGTCGCTGAACCAGTCGTGTTGTATGATGAAGATGAACCAGTCGTGTTGTAAGATGAAGATGAACCTGTCGTGTTGTAAGATGAAGATGAACCTGTCGTGTTGTAAGATGAAGAAGAAGAACCGGTTGTGTAATCCATGCTGGAATGTTGGGACGCTGGTTTTCTATTCAAAATTTCTGCCAAAATTGATGGTCGACCTTGAAATGTAGGACTAGAGTTCATAGGAGGTACGTCAGGTGCTTGATAAAAGCTACTCATGGTCCTTTGATTTGACGATAAAGAATGCGGTGTGGCATATATATCACTAGAGTTAGAAACCACTGAGTTTTTCACGATATGAAAGTCTTCTGGTGCGCTGTGCATGCTGGTATCGGTTGAGATATTGTCGACAGACACGTCTGTTAGATCACAGTCCAAAAAATCAGTGGACTCGTCGATGGGGAAAAATGAAGAGTTGTTGTTAAATGTGGTCATGTTTGATTCGTTGTGAGTAGTAATATCCATGTGTGTTGTCGCGTTGATCGTCGCTAAACGTATATTGCTGAGATCGGGAAATTCTACTAAACTAGTTGAAGACATGTTCGTGGTTTGATGATGGACTAGATCAGAATCCTGCTGATTGGAGGAGGTATTTTGCGCCATATTTGGACTATCTACGCTATTATATTCGCTAAAATATGGTTGATTCAGGTTCATAGTTCCCATTAAGACATCACCGTGATCAGTGAACGCGAAGGAATTAACATTGTCCGAAGCCGATGCACTGATTGCCTCCTTTGTCGCATCACCGTTTGTCAGATCAGAAGCATTTTTTATGATGTCGGACAACAGTTCCTCGGCTTCACTGGAACTTATCGCTGGACAGGCCTGTCTTTGTCTTTCTAATTTCTGAATTCCTTCTTCCAGACTGAAAATAAAAATTAAACACATTTTTAATATAAGAGAGTGAGAGAAAAACGGGGTAATTTCGGGGCTAACATATAGTTTAAATTTATTGTAATAATACGCTCGTACTTCAGCAATGGGAGGAAAACTGGGAGCCAGAGAAAACCCATGAGGTCGGACAGGCGACTATAAACCTGGTCACATTCAAGCGGGGATTCGAAACAACGCCACATATCAACTGTCAAGGGATCTTTTACATGGACACCACCGTGTACATACCAACATTCCATTCTGCATCAATGACAAGGGCAAACCACGCCGGGAAATTCCTGATGAACTTTCTCCACCACTGCTGCCCTCAAATTACGAGGACAAGTATTCTTTGTTTCTTACCTTAATTTAGTGTTAAGACTGACGATGAACTTTGGTTGATTGGTCCACTTATCCCGAGCCATACACGACTTTGATTCAACATACTCTATTGCTTGAGACTTGGTATGGAGACGGAAGACAGTACTCGGTATTTCCCCCTCTATCATAACTACAATACAAAAAATACGAGATGTTCTCTTGGTGACCAAATCAATCTGATTAAGATACACATTTATATTTCATTTTTTTTTTTTTTAATTCTTTCGATGGGGGATCACGGTGGCTAAGTGGGTAAGGCGCTGGCTCGCTAGCCTGGAGGTCGGGTGTTCGATCCCTGCATTGGCCGAGAAAGTTCATCCAGATTTTCCGGCATGGTTTCCCCTGTCAATGACGCAGGATGGAGGGCCTGACAAGACAGCTGTCTCGTCATTCGGATGAGACGAAAAACCTATGTCCCGTGTACACATTGGCGTGCACGTAAAAGATCCCTTGACAGTTGGAATTCGATATAAGAGTAGGCCGTAGTGCCGCTGTCTGGGAAAAATTTCCCTCATAGCACACTGTATGGCGTATGCCCGTCTTCATTAGCCCAGGTTAGGAGCAGAACAGTAGGACGTTAAACTCCATTTCATTTCATTTCATTTCATTTTATTAGCCCAGTTCGGAGCAAAACTGTAGGACGTTAAACCCCATTTCATTTCATTTATTCTTTTGATGGACTCCACTATGACTGGTTGTATGCTGAAAATAGGATCTGTGTTTTAATCGGATGGGAGTTTAACGTCCTGCTGTTCTTCTCCTATACTGAGCATATGCTATAAAGTGTGCTATGATGAAAATTTTGCCCGGGCAGCGGGACTATGGCTTACTCTTATAATATCGCATTCCAACTGCCAAGGGATCTTTCACGTGCACGCCAATATATACACAGGACCTTGGTTTTTTGTCCCATCCGAATGACTAGACAGCTGTCTTTGTCAGGCCCTCCGTCCTGCACTACTGACAAGGGAAAACACGTTGGAAAATCCTGATAAACTTTCTCTGCCAATGCAGGGATCAAACACGCGACCTTTAGGCTAGCAAGTCAGAGAGAGAGAGAGAAATGGGGTTTAACGTCCACTCGACACAACTAGGTCATTTCAATAATTCACCTGCGCATAGGGGTCTTTAGCAGTGGGAGGAAACCGGAGGACCCGGAGAAAACCCACGAGGTTGGACAGGCGACCCTACTCCTTGTCACGTACAACCGGGGATTCCTAGCGAGTCAGTGTCCTACACACTTAGCCACTGTGGCTCACCAGAAGAAGAGAAAGGGTGTGTGTATTAAACAGTTTGTGATCAAATAGCCAACATAATAAGAATGATTGTTGAGTAAATTCAACAATGAATCAAACTCCTTAAAATACAGATCTATATTTCGTTTCGTGTTTTATACTTTCCATGGCTTACACTACATGAACATCTGACTAGTTATACTGGAAAGTCGCGTCTAAGGTCATACAAACGGCTTTTGACCCATTGACGCCAGACATTGATTAATCAATCAGCGTTGACATTTCTATCGCTTTTCGCCGTAACAGATAGTTTCACTGGCTAATCCCTCACGCCATCCAAAACGCAAGTTATATAACAACTCTTCCAGATCCTAGTGTAGTACAGTCAAATAAAAATTTTGAACTATAAAAAACGAAGCGAAATAGGATCTGTGTTATAATGAGATTGATAATGAATTTATTTGTAGCACGGAAATTTTGCTTCATGATAAATATAATATAATTTTATCTGTCTCTAATTCAATATTACAGAAGTAAACATCCACACTTACTTTTCTGATGACTACGTCCAACTATATCGAGATCATCGGGTAATATATGAACGTAAACTGATGATCCAAAATGTTCATCAGGCATTAATCCCGTCACTTGGCTAATTCTGCAAATATAAAATAATCATCCTTGAGTGACATTTAACGATTGAGCACATTAAAAAAACACAATTTATATGGGGAACCATCACTACCATGATGCCTCGACAAGTATTCTCTTATCATTATCAAGAACAAATGATGTCTAGCAGATGATTTATAAGTACATCTCTTGAGTGGCATTTAGAGATTGAGCACATTAAAAAACACAACACAATTTAAATGGGATACAATCACTGGTTTATATACATATAGCACGACGTTTCAACAAGTATGTGAACTTCACATCTTCATTTTATACTGCCTACACAAAAGCATGAACCGTATGCCTTCTTGTTGCTGTGAATGATCCGAACTCCAGATGATACGACAAATTTAAAAAGAATTGCATTTTTAGGAAGCTTATACTGCCAGCTCTATTTTTCATAAAAATAACCAAGAGTCTGGTTTTGTGGGAGCAACTCACATATTCTCTTAATGTTATTAAACGCAAATGAAATGAAATGAAATGAAATGAAATGAGGTTTAACGTCCTACTGTTCTGCTCCTATACTGGGCTAATGAAGACGGGCATACGCCATACACTGTGCTATGAGGGAAATTTTGCCCGGGCAGCGGCACTATCGCCTACTTATATCGAATTCCACCTACTAAGGGATCTTTTACGTGCATTCCAATGTATACACGGGACCTCAGTTTTTTGTCTCATCTGAAGGACTAGACAGCTGTCCTTGTCAGGCCCTCCATCCTGCATCACTGACAAGGAGGGACAACGCCGGAAAATCTGGATGAACTTTCTCGGCCAATGCAGGGATCGAACACCCGACCTCCAGGCTAGCGAGCCAGCGTCTTAACCACTTAGCCACGTGATCCCCTTATTAAACACAAATAAAGATGAATAATTAATGATGAGAAATTAAATAACATGACAGGGGGTTGGGTGGCCAAATGGTTAACATGTGCACATTTGATCAGAAGGGTAGCTGTCATAGAGTCAACCTAGTGTTGGTTTTCTCCGGGACCTCTGGTTTCCTCCCACTGCGAAAGACTCCAACGCACTAGCGAATCATTGAAATAAAATTGAACCATATGTATGTTAGTCCCGAAATGACCTAGTTTGTGAGAATCTCTCTCTCTCTCTCACAACCAGGATCTACTGAGACTGTGTGTCCATTGAAGTTTACGAATATGAATGACTATGATCTAAGACCTTTCTATTTCTATTTCCTTTATTAAAACAAACAACAATCAAACATTTATGAAAATACCACAATAAAAAGGTATTATATTAGGTTTTAGTAGCCCAAATCGCGGACCCTAATCTCATTTAGAAAGTCCTTTTAATCGGTGTTTCTGTGAGTTTCTGCAGACAATTCCAACACCAAAAGTCCAATCAACATTATTAGAATAAAGTATTATGTAAATTATTTAAAGATTAATTTACCCCACAAAAAGATATAAATAAAACTTATTAATTTATTTTCTCTAATCACACATTATATAATTCAGACTGTCTGTGACATCTGGGGCCACGGTGGCACGGTGAGTAAGACATTGGCTTGCTAACCTGGAAGTCCCATGTTTAATCCCTTCGTTGGCCAAGAAAGATCATCAAGATCTTCCGGCGTGGTCCCTCCTTGCCAACGGTGCAGGACGGAGGGCCTGGCAAGAAACAATGCATAGTTGTTTGGATGGGACAAAAAAAAACGAGGTTCCATATACACATTGGTGTGCACGTAAAGATACCTTGGAAGTTGGAATTTGATATAAGAGTAGGCCGTATTGCCGCTGTCCGGGCAAACTTTCCCTCATAGCACACTGTATGGCATATGCCCGTCCTCATTAGCCCAGTTTGGAGCAGAACAATATGACGTTAACCCCATTTCATTTAATTTGATGTTCCTGAGATTCTACACTGACAAAAAAATCCCATACTGTATTTGAAATGACATGACAAAAGCTTTAGAATGTAGGTTTCGATGTAGGTTATTAATAGATTAATTGATTAGTTCTATCCAACCTAAGGCCACAAACGTCACAGAATAAATAATTCAATTCTAATTTGGTGAGGCCAACTACCATGTAAGTGTAAACAGATGCCTTATTTCTTTGGCCTCAGATCAAAAAATCTTTAGATGTACGTACACCTAGAGATATATAAGTGATAAGATCAATCCTATCGTTCAAATTACAGGTGGAGAGATAAAAATATGATCACATATCTTTAGACAAAGAGAATCTCTTTAATCTACTTGTAACTGTTGATTTATTGGGTGGCTGATCTATTTTCTCTTATCATACTTTCTGCACTGAGTTAGCAAACATTTAAAGGATCTGTAGCTCTGATAGAACTCATTATTTATGTGCAATGAGTCAGCAAACATTTAAAGGAGCTCATTAGAACTCATTATTTATGTGCACTGAGTTAGCAAACATTAAAGGAGCTATACCTCTGATTTTATTGAATAAAACTCTTTGTAACATGGACAGGAAATCTTCCTTTGTTATTTTCGTTGAATAAGCAGATTGTTTTTCCTCAAGTAGATTGGGTGGAGATTAACCGTGCAATAACTAGACATTTTTAATGTTATATTGCACACTTTTGCTGGTTTACGCTAGTTTTAGTAAAAATCATATAGAGTGGGGTGGGTTTTCTGTGTAATAACAACGAGCATGTTGAACAGGTGTCAATGTTACAAGTCATTTATAGCACGCTTAATTCATTAACAGGTTTAACACCTGTTGAACAGGTGTCAATGTTACAAGTCATTTATAGCATGTTTCATTCGTTAAAAGGTTTAACACCCCGGCCTACGTCCTCTGTGGTTAAAGCTGTTAATGAATGAAAGCTGTGCTATAAATATAACTTACTTCTAGTGCACTGAGCTAGCAAATATTTAAAGGAGTGGTCCTTGATATATTTTTTAAAAATAAAATTGTCTTCTTTTCGTGCACATTTCGCCGGTTACATGGAAACGATCAGATTACAATTGTATTAGACCAACTTTTTTGCTGGCGAAAATGCCACAAAAACACGCACATGGAAAATGACCTTATAACACCAAGCTCAATCTGATTAAAATACAGATCTATATTTCGTTTCGTTTTTTTATACTTTCGATGGTCTCTACTACATGAAGATCTGACCAGTTGTAGTGGTAGGTTGCATCAGAGGTCAGACGAGTTGCTTTTGACACTATAACGTCAGACATTTGAGTAACCAATCAGCATTTTTGTGGGTTACCCACAGTTCTGTGCACCTCACGCCAAAAACTTGCCGTAACAGACCTGTTAACTTTCCATTTATTAGTAGCAACATTCCAATATCACCAGCTTATGGAGTGTTTGTGTCTCCGCTAATTCGTTACGCGAGAGCTTGTTCCTTTTATTCTGACTTTTTAAGTAGATCGAGGCATTTGTCATCTAAGCTTCAACTACAGGGTTACTTGCGAACTAAAATTATTAAAACCTTTAAAAAGTTTTATGGCCGTCATATTGACTTGATTGGTAAATATAACATGTCTCTCTCGGTTATTATTCTAGATATATTTAATTGACGCGTATACTATCTCCCTGATAGTGTCTGTCTACTACATCGTTAATAATGTTCATCACGCGCATTTTGCATACGGATAGTCCATTGGCCAATCACGCTATTTTACCGAGATTTCGTCTAATAATTTGGATGTAGCAATGGCGGGTGTGGCGACAGGCAGCGTAAGCTTACTCTTCCGGACACCTGTTACCACTGTTTGTCGTGTATTTTGTATATGGTGAACAGTCCATATGCTGATTACACTATTTTGCCTTTTTACACTATTTTACCTATACCGTTTTTTTAGGACTTCGAATTTTGTCTAATAGTTTGGATTGTTCATACTTGGTTTTATTTTATTTACCGTTTCATTGCCTAATCCCTCACATCAACAGAAATGAGGGTTATATAACAACTCTTCCAGATCCTAGTGTAGTAAAGACAAGTAAAACAAAATTTTGAACTATAAAAAAACCGAAAGGAAATGAGATTGCAAACATTTAAAAGAGCGGAAAGTGATACATGTATATTTTACTGAATAACACTCATGATATATCTTATTGAATAAAGGGGGGGTGGGGTGGCCAAATGGTTAGCACGTGCGCATTGTATGATAAGATCAGTCATTTAATCAACTGGCTGGTGTGGTTTCGATTCCCCGGTTGTACATGACAGTGTGCTATGAGGGAAATTTCGCCCAGACAGGGGCACTTCGGCTTACTCTTATATCGAATTCCAACTGTCAAGGGATCTTTTACGTGCACACCAATGTATACACGGGACCTTGGTTTTTCGTACCATCCGAACGACTAGACAGCTGTCCTTGTCAGGCCCTCCGTCCTGCATCACTGCAAGTGGGGAACCACGCCAGTAAATCTGAATGAACTTTTTCTCGGCCAATTCTCCTTTAACATCGGGTGGTAAGATAAATGGTGTGTCAACCCAGAAAGATTAAACAGGGGTCATAGCATGTGAACCATTTTACTGGTGATATTAAACTGATAAATATGACAAGGACAACCTTCGTTAAAGTCACTCCACCCTGAAAACATAGTTTTAACAAGGAGAGAGAGAGACAAATGGGGTTTAACGTCCACTCGACACAAACTAGGTCATTTTGGGACTAACATATGGTTTTAATTTTATTTCAATAATTCGCTTGCGCGTAGGGGTCTTTAGCAGTGGGAGGAAACCGGAGGACCCAGAGAAAACCCACGAGGTTCGACAGGAGACCCTACTCCTTGTCACGTACAACCGGGGATTCGTAAAACCACGCCAGTCGACTCAATGACAGACTTTATGATACAGCGCGCGCACGCTAACCATTCAGCCATCCAACCCCCCACAATTAGAAATCTCAAATTAATAAAATCTTCAGCTGTCAACTGCCAGATTTCAACTTTTTTAATAACTGACACATGACACATAAAATTACAAATTTAAAGTGAAATGAAATAAAATGGGGATTAACTTCTCTCCACCAATTGGGTAAATGAAAAGAGAGAGAGAGAGAGAGAGAGAGAGAGAGAGAGAGAGAGAGAGAGACCAGAGAAAAGCCATGTGGTTGGATAGATGACCCTACTCCTTGTCACGTACAACTGGGGAATGGAAACCACGCCAGAGAGAGAGAGAGAGAGAGAGAGCCCGGAGAACAACCATGTGGTTGGATAGGTGACCCTACTCCTTGTCATGTACAACTGGGGAATGGAAACCACGCCAGAGAGAGAGAGAGAGAGAGAGAAAAAGAGAGAGAGAGAGCCCGGAAAACAACCATGTGGTTGGATTGGTGACCCTACTCCTTGTCACGTACAACTGGGGAATGGAAACCACGCCAGAGAGAGACAGAGAGAGAGAGAGAGAGAGAGAGCCCGGAGAACAACCATGTGGTTGGATAGGTGACCCTACTCCTTGTCACGTACAACTGGGGAATCGAAACCATGCCACTTGACTCAATGACAGATCTTATGATTCAACGCACTTGCACTAACCAATCGGCGATCCAGCCACCGTATCACTAACTAACAGCTTGTTGCCTGGCTTGAGTGACGTACTGCGTGCTTCGTATGTATTGATCGAATGGCTATATCATTGGACAGCGGAAAAATCAATTGCCGCAATCCAAGAATTTACTTATTCTTCATTATTTATGACAAATGGACAGAATTAGCTAGTAACAACATATACAAGCTGAATGGATTCTCTCTCAATAAAATCCTATGACGAAAATAGACTTTTACAGCTTGTGGTAGTTTACTTGAGATTTTAATGTTTTGTAGGGGATTTGAAGCAATGGAATGAAATGAAATGGGGTCAACGTCCTACTATTCTGCTCCGACTGGACTAATGCAGACAGGAAATTTGAAGCAAACTATTTGAAGCAAACTATTGATACACAGATTAGTTTGATTTTGTTTCTACTCTCCAAGTTTTTACGAGGGTAGGCATCTTTAAACAGAATGTCAATAACTCTACTTATACCTGTGTACATAACCAAATGGCTTCACCTAGATCAATTATAGATAAGTGTTGATCTTTTGTTTATGGATTTCATGATTCTAATCGTGACATGATAAAGTAGATATAAGTATAAAACACACCACTAATATTATTGATAAATAAAAATATAAAAATCCCTGCTCAACAGTAGTATAAATAGATTTTAAAGTAGCTAAATCAACAATATTAGGGACCTAGAAATTGATACAAATGGAGAGAGAGAGAAAGAATGGAGTTTAAGGTCCACTTGACACAAACTAGGTCATTTTGGGACTAACATATGGTTCAATTTTATTTCAATAATTTGCTTGCAGGTAGGGGTCTTTAGCAGTGGGAGGAAATTGGAGGACCGGGAGAAAACCCACGAGGTGCTTTATAAATGGACATATTATAGTTGTTATTATTATTAATAATAATGCCCTACCTGATTATGACCAAGAGAAAACCCAGGAGGTTGGACAGGTGCACGTAAGGGTCTTTAGCAGTGGTTTCCACTTCTGAGACATGAATTAAGTAGAGTGTCTAGTTGTTCGAATGGGATAAAAAAAAAACTCGCCAGTTGGAATTCGAAATAAGAGTAGGTCAAATTTCCCTTAACACACTCGGATTGTGTAAAGTATTTTATCAAGCACCCCCTAAGATTTAAAGCGGGGTTGGGTGGTCTAGTGGTTTAACGCAGGTGCATGAAACCATAAGATCTGTCATGGTTTTGATTCCCTACTTGTACGTGACAAGGAGTAGGGTTGTCTGTCCAACCTCATGGGTTTTCTCTGGGTCCCTCCCACAGCTAAAGATCAATATGTGTAAGCGAATTATTGAAATAAAATGAAACCGTATGTTAGTCCCGAAATGACCTAGTTTGTGTAGATTGGATATTAAACCCCATTACTCTCTCCCTAGATTAAAACAATAACATCATATACAAACCTTGGATCAGTGTACAGTATTTTACCATCTAAGGCATGTTGAGTTATCCACTCATCTTTCGCGGGATCCATCAATGATATGTTTGTTATGGTTTCGTTTTTTACTAAACGTCCGCAACCTGTTAACCACACATCTTTCTCGTTACCTAATAAAATATAAGACAACAACATTACTTGTAACATTCAACTCCCAAAATAACATTATTTATAAAATTCAAATATACTCACAAAACAACACCAAACCACGTTACTTATACCATCCAACGCTCAAAACAACATTACTTATACCATTCAACAAATTTCACAAAACAACATTACTTGTGCCATTCAACACATTAAAAACATTACTTTTAACATTCAACGCTCAAAAAAACATTACTTATACCACCTAATTCACAAAACAACATTACTTATACCATCAAATTCACAAAACAACATTACTTATACCATCTAATTCACAAAACAACATTACTTATACCAGTCAACCCTCAAAACAACATTACTTATACCAGTCAAGTCACAAAACAACATTACTTATACCAGTCACGTCACAAAACAACATTACTCATACTATTCCCAATAGAATACCAAAATCCACTTAAAAAGCATCAAAATTTATTTTTTTCTTTTTGGATCATTTATTTTTTCTTGTTGTAAATTTGATTTCCAATAAGTGTAATTACGGGAATATACCTAAATGAGATCAAAGAACACCTCAATCAATACAGAAACGCTTGAAAGATCATTTACTAAAGTTCCATTACATGCGATATTTCTATTGATTTCAAGTATATTTCACATACATTAAAGTGTATGAGTTCAAACAATACCTCATTCAATATAGAGGACCCGTGTACACATTGGCATGCATGTAAAGGATCCCCTTGCAGTTGGAATTCGACATAAGAGTAGGCGATAGTGCCGGTGCCCGAGCAAAATTTCCCTCATAGCACACTGTATGGCGTATGCCCGTCTTCATTAGTCCAGTCGGAGCAGAACAGTAGGACGTTAAACTCCATTTCATTTCATTTCATTCAATATAGATAATAAAATGCTCAAAAGGTCATTTACTAAAGTTCCATTAACATACGATATATATATTGACATGAGGTATATTTCGCAGATATTGAAGTGTCCTTTAGTAGGACTTTAAACCCCATTGCATTTAATTTCATATCTGTGTATTCCTTTATATTCCGGAAATTAGTCTACCTGCGTGCCATGTGCCATCTTATAAATGGCTCTTACAACATAATAACACTAATTTACACTTCACCCAAAAGAATTGATTAGTTTTACCTGTGCTTGAATCTCGTGCTAATAATGACATTTCCTGTAACTGCCCTTTGATGTGTATCATGGTATACGAAGCATCATCTCGACAGTTGACGTTTAAAAAACGTACATAAAACGATCGAGTACTAACTCCATTATCTGAACCTAGTAAAGAAAATGGTCATACATGTATATATCTTTAATGTGAAGTTCAAACAAACACAAAATGATGAAGTTCTCACTCCATTATCTGAAACTAGAAAAATATGGGTGTTTAAAATCAATACTTCAGACTTTAAAGATACATTCTTGGGTACAAACTGGGTGTTTGATGATATATTAGGACTAAAAACATATTCAAACTAATTAATTTATTATAATTTTGCTTCAAATCCTTTTCAAAACATTGCAATTGTCAGGGAATAGCCAGCTATAAAAAAGCGATCAAATGTGTTCATGTTTGTGTCACGTGACACAATGGGTGCGAGGTCGGAGGAGAATTCATTGCATACACAAGATGATGTTGCCTTTATCGCTGACTATTTATTACAAATATTGAAGCATAATTAAATTCTTGGATTATCCACTGTCCGCGTCTTTTTCTGTGATTTTTATCTCAGAAAGTGTTGTACGTCTAACTCTTCATAAAGTTTATCAACATGTACATCAAGCACTCAATCTCTGTTGGAACCTTCAACGTCACGCGTGCAGACATTCCGAATCGTCGGGCTGTCGATTAGGGAAACACGTACATTTTTGTCCTGTATGTGCTCCATGAGTGTTTTTCAGGGAATCCATTATTTTTCTAGTAAGATTGGATATTTCTACTTTCCATATATAATATACCAAAATTGCCATACTTTTATTGGAAATAACGACCCGATAAATACTTTTCTGAGAATGTAGCTTTAAGTCAAACCAGATATAAATGATAGATTGCTCAATCCATTTATTAAAGATACGTTCCAACAAAAGTATTTATTAGGTGGTCATTTCCAATAAAAGCATGCAAATTTTGGTACATGTATATACGGAAAGTAGAAACATCCAATCTTACTAGAAAAATATGGGATTCCCTGAAAAACACCCATGGAGCGCATACAGGACAAAAGTGTAAGGGTTTTCCTAACCGGCAACCCGACAATTAGGGATGTCTGCCCGAGTGATGTCAAAGGTTGCACACGAAAATTCCTGATCTTGAGCTTAAACGTACAACAGTTTCTGAGATAAAAGCCATGCTTCGATATTTATGATAAATGTACAGTGATTTATAGCAGGAGTATTCCTTCACAAGTACAATGTTGAGAAGAGTTTTAAGAAAGATTCCAAACAAAATATTGATAGATTAATTAGTCTGATTACGATTTTAGTCCAAATATATCATCAAATCACACAGTTTGTACGCGGGAAGGTATCTTTAAGAAAAGAAAAAATCAGAATTTAATATTTTTTAAAATCAATTCTTTAGAAAGTTAGTGTAAAGTCAAAACATGTATCACCCTATTTTCAGTCACAGAAAAAAGATAAATTGTCAGGCAACAAAATAAACGCCCATAGCAGCCAATTAAAGTCAATCATGAAGTCAACTAGGGATGCTTGGTCCGTAATGAAAACATGTACAACACACTAAAATCTGATTAAGAGTAAATCCATTAAATAATTATTAGAAATCGATTAATAAGCCTGCTGCCTTTAGGAGAAAACGATGCTAGATATGATGATGGTATAAACTGTGAAAGGAAAGAGACGCGAGAAGAATACTGATGACCACACCTAGTGTAAGTACAGAAATAATCCACAATCAATAAACCAATTATATGTAATTAATGTTCAATGTGCCTTTCTCACAGACTTTTTATATTAAGTATATGTATGAACGTGTTCTCAGGGTTTATTGTCACGGTTTTATGCACCACGTGGGCTAATGAAGATAGGGCAGTGTGTTGTGATGGAATTCAAACTGCTATCGGTTCTTTTATGTATTGGGGGGTTGGATGGCTGAATGGTTAGTGTGCGCGCGCTGTATCATAAAGTCTGTTATTGAGTCGACTGGCGTGGTTTCGAATCCCTGGTTGTATGTGACAAGGAGTAGGGTTGCCTGTCCAACCTCGTGGGTTTTCTCCGGGTCCTCCGGTTTCCTCCCACTGCTAAAGACCCCTACGCGCAAGCGAATTATTATATACAGCGCACATGTGCTAACCATTTGGCCATCCACCCCCCCCCCCCTATGTTTCGATGGGTGTGGCGATGTAGAATGGATGGTCGATATGTCTAGAGTTTTAAGCGGGTTTATTATTTTACTCACCTGAGGAAGAGCAGCGTGGAGAAAATTGAGCTAAAAATAATTTGCGGTCGTCTGGATGAATGATACTCTCGATGTCTTTTCCAATCAAATCAAACTGAAAAAAAAATAAAAATTTTTAATGACATTTGAAGTGGGGTCGACATCCTACTTATCTACATAATACCAGAATGGACAGGAATTTGATATTTTCTGAAAAATGCAAGTCATGCATCCTTACTTTAACATTAAATATGATAGCATATATAATTTCTAGTGATATATATATTTTAATTTCTTTTTCAAATTTTATTTAAAGAATGCATAATTTATTTCTTAATTCTATATTTATATAGTCAATATGGCTGACTTTAATATCATCAGCCCGTCTTTAGCAGTGGGAGGAAACTGGAGGACCCGGAGAAAACCCACAAGGTTAAACAGACGACCCTACTTCTTGTCAAGTAGAACCGATGAATCGAAACCATGCCAGTTGACTCGATGGCAGACCTCATGATACAGTACGCGCACGCTAACCATTTGGCCGTCCAACCTCCCTACCTCTTTAAAGCAGTTTCCCCCTTGTCAGTGGTGCAGGACGGAGGCCCTGACAAGGGCAGCTGTCTATTCATTTGGATGGGATGAAAAACCAAGGTCCAATGTACACATTGGCAGGCAAGTAAAAAATCCCTTGGCAGTTGGAATTTGATATTATAAGAGTAGGTCGCAGCGCAGCTGTCTGGGCACAATTTCCCTCATAGTGCACTGTATGGCGTATACCCATCTTCATTAGCCAAGTAGGAGCAGAACAATATGAAATTAAACCCCATTTCATTTCATTTTTTTTATTTCTTAAAGCAGTTAATTCTGTCTCCTGAGACTAGCAAAAAAAAAGATAGATCAGATTTTGATGACGACATTATAAATCAGCACAACATAAATCATCCCGTCCCATGTGACAACCAAAAATCAAATGATTTTTAACAGTGACATATAGTGTGGATTCTACGCTAGTTTGAAAGGAACGTTATAATCTCTTCCGACAGATACATTTATTGTTCTTATATTAACCCACAACTTTCAGACTTTCCCCGATCTTGCACGCATTACATATTGTTAAGCGACAAGATTCTAGGTTTACGCCATTATTAAAGGACACAGACGGTAATTATATAATGTTAAGCGACAAGATTCTAGGTTTGAGCCATTATTAAAGGACACAGACGGTAATTATATAATGTTAAGCGACAAGATTCTAGGTTTGAGCCATTATTAAAGGACACAGACGGTAATTATATAATGTTAAGCGACAAGATTCTAGGTTTGAGCAATTATTAAAGGACACAGACGGTAATTATACTTCTACTACAATTTTTCATCAAGTCGATAAGTTTCTAGACATCAATTAAAATTATCTAAAAATATGAAGAGTCCAGGGGAAGAAGGATCCAAGTCACAATTTTGTCTTTTCGCAGAATGCTCGACATGAACAGAACTTCGAGGGGGTTTAATTACAACTTCAAAATGATGCTTCATACGATTCATAATTACCAGTACAACAACTGACTTCCACTTTTTAGCCAAATTAAGGTCAAATAACGGGTACAATGGACGTATTTGTCCGGGAGGCCATTTCAGAAGGGCCTTGGTTCGATGTGACCCCCGATCGTTTCTACCTGAAATTGATTGCCACAGAAAGCCTATACAATTAGCTGCCAGATGGCGCCATTAACTGGGCTTCATTGAAAAAGTGACTTAGATCGTTCTTCCCTCGGGGCTCTTCATTTGAATATGGTAAACCAGAAACTGTACATAGTCTTGTTGCTCATTCTATTTTCATATTTTTATTAATAATCCTTGTGTCATAAACAATCCTTCACTCGGCCATTAGCTTGAATAGCTTCCTGTTCGATAATAATATAGAACAATTACCAGTATATGCACCATGTGGATATAGCGCTTTATAAATGGACATATTAATATTGTTATAATTATTATTAATAATACCCTACCTGATTATGGCCTAGTAACTGTCCTACAGCCTCTGATAATAATATAATAGTTCCTTTTTTACATACTACTAATAAAAACCCATCAACAGCCTGAAAAAAATACAAACATTTAAAAATATAATAAGATAGCCACCACGTAAAGTGCGAAAATACGTCCACATAGCAGCTATGTCTACAATGCAGCTTATCCGGAAACTTGAGATTTTGATCAAATTTTCAAAAAAAGATGACTTTAAAAAATCTGATTGCTGGCGTGTTTACTGGATTGAAAAAAACGTGTTAAAACCTGTAGCATCTACAGTTTTTTCGTATTATACATGTCCCCTGTGCTTCACATCAAATTTGAAATATATCTCTAAAAAACTGTAGCCTACATCATGTTTACAACCTAATTGTTGAAGGACAAGACCTTATAATTACATGTATGGTTGAATTAATTATGGGTTACTATTAGCACACATTATTCCATTCAGTCTCATTCTTATTAGTTAAACATACATTATGCAAGAGCAAAATCTGTTTATTGCAGGTCTTTCTTTAGGCCTGAAATGTTATCTAAATTATTAATTAGACATTAATTAACTTATCCAGACCATAATAAACTCTCGATGTCAAGGCTAGCCTTCGATGTTGGCTGGATTAGATTCCTATATGCCGCTAACGGCCATTGATAATTAAATCAGAAAAAGTGGATAATCGAGACTATGCTGTTTATATTAATGATTTTAGTAATGATGACCGAGACTATGCAAAAATTTCACCGGCTTCTTTCTCGGCTCATAGTGGATCAATTTGACTGAAATTTTCAGCAAATTACCTTTACACATCTAGCTTTTAAATATTATAGTGAGAACTGCCATCTCTTTATCTGATCTCCCATAATGTATCTTTAAGAGGACTATGCTCTAAGATGTCATATCAATGTTAAGGTAACCTATAATTAACTCAACTATAGAAAGGTAATTATAAAGTCTTGACAGATCATGGTGACAATACCCTACTTTTAAATGCATTAAAGCCAAGGGTCTCGGATAAATTTTCAAATTTGATTAGCAGAAATATGTATGCACGGACGTATGGACGTATGAACGGAAGTGCGGGTGGGGACGACAGCAATATTCAACTACATTTCTATGTGGGTGTATAAAATTAAATTGTTAAAAAACTCCACTTTTGATTGATACGTCTTTTTGAAGACTAGCAGTATTCTTATTAAGGACGACAAAAAATACTAAGTTAAGGACAAGCTCTTTTGACATTTTTTTAATATAATTTTTTTATGAGAAATGAAATAGAGTTTATGAGACAGTTTTTAGATGTTTTGTCAGAAGGTTGTTTGAAATATTTCATCCATGCACCAGTAAACCTGATATTTAATCTAGACGTGTCAAGGTCAGTCTAATCACATGCACTGAAGTCATGTGAAGTGATTCAACCTTACATACATGTAATTCACATTTCCTTTAAGAATAGGATGAAATGAAATGATTTTTAACGTCCTACTTTTCTGCTCCGACTGGAAGACAGGCATAAGACAGGCAGTATGCTATGAGCAACATTTTACCCAGACAGCCATAAGACAGAGAGAGAAAGAAATGGGGTTTACCTTCCACTCAACACAAACTAGGTCATTTCGGGACTAACATATGGTTTAATTTTATTTCAATAATTCGCTTGCGCATAGGGGTCTTTAGCAGTGGGAGGAAACCGAAGGACCCGGAGAAAACCCATGAGGTTTGACAGGCGACCCTACTCCTTGTCACATACAACCGGGTATTCAAAACCACGCCAGTCGACTCAATGACAGACTTTATGATACAGCGCGCGCACGCTAACCATTCAGCCATTCCCCCCCCCCCCCCCCCCCCCCGCGGCCTAAGACAGACATAAGACATTTTGCCCAGACAGCAGCAGTACAACCTACTGTTATTTCGAATACCATCTGTCAAGGTTTTGTGTTACCTGCACACCAGTCGCCAATCAATGTGTACACAGACCTCGGACTTTCGTCCCATTCGAACAACTAGACACTGTCCTTGACAGAATTGTTTATATGTAGTTGACAAGAAAAATAAAATAAAATGGTATTTAACCTCCTACTCTATATTCCACCCCAACTCACTGTAACCCAGGTATCGTTTAATCTTGTGTATCTAGCACTAATTTCTTTCACATTCGTTTAATATCCAATATTTGTTTAAAAATTCATAAAAACTGTTTAACATCACCATAATTTCTTTAACATTCGTTTAATATCAAATCTATGTTTAAAAATTTGTAAAAATCATTTAAAATCACCAAATATCATCTAATTTGTACTTGTGTCCAGTTTAAAGCTGACCATTCAATTTTGATAATGAGTGTCCAATTTAAAAGTGTTTAATTTATCAATCACTGTTAAAAAATAAATAACCCAATTGATTAATGAGGTATAATGATTAATTTTTAAACAGTGGTCAGGAAATTAAACACTTGTAAATTGGACACTCATTATCAAAATTAATCAGTCAGCTTTAAAATGGACACAAGTACAAATTAGATGATATTTGGTGATTTTAAACGATATTTACAAATTTTTAAACAAAGATTTGATATTAAACGAATGTTAAAGAAATTAGTGCTAGATACACAAGATTAAATGATACCCTGGTTACAGTGTAACATCCTACTCTATATTCCACCCCAACTAAGCCACATCATGTTTTGTACTATGGAGGAATTTCCCGCAGATGCACTAATCAGCACACCGGTTCGTTGACAAATGCACATACTAGTTTACAGACAAATGTACAGACTGGTTGTACAGATTAGCCTGTAGACAAATGTACAGAACAATATGTAAACAAATGAAATGAAATGAAATTAAATGGGGTTTAACGTCCTACTCCTAACCTGGGCTAATGAAGACAGGCATACGCCATACAGTGTGCTATGAGGGAAATTTTGCCCGGGCAGCGGCGCTACGGCCTACTCTTATATCAAATACCAACTGCCAAGGGATCTTTTACGTGCCCGCCAATGTGTACACGGGACCTCGGTTTTTGTCCCATCCGAACGACTAGACAGCTGTCCTTGTCAGGCCCTCTGTCCTGCATCACTGACATGGTGAAACCACCCCAGAAAATCTGGATGAACTTTCTCGGTCAATGCAGGGATCGAACACCCGACCTCCAGGCTAGCGAGCCAGCGTCTTACCCACTTAGCCACGTGATCGCCAATATGTAAACAAATGTACATAAAAATTTGTAGACAAATGTACTAAACGGATTCTTAGACAATTTCACAAACCGTTTTGTTTTTATTGAAAAAAAAAATAAAGTTAAAGCTCACACTCACTTACATGTAAGTGGTTGTACATTCAAAAATGTGCAAGTGTGTGATAATATTGTTAGTGTTACTACACTGTAAACAAGGTTGTCCTTTGTGCACTAAGATAAATATCTAGATAACAATATACCCCACTTTATATATTTGGGACAAAATGTGTTGTTCACCTATCATAGTATATGAAATAATAAGGTCTGTTTACAAAATTACTATGCTGTGATGTATGTCTCTTTTAATATTTAGAACAAAATGTGTTGTTCAACTATCATATTATATGAAATAATAAGGTTTGTTTAAAAAATTAATATGCTGCTATGGATGTCTCTTATCGCAATATAAAATCGGTTGATTCACTTTATCTTCAACCTGACTATTTTGTTATAACTAAATGTACCAAAACTTCCCTTATAGCAAATAATCGAGAATTCTAATTACATTATTTCTTTTCACAAAAGTTAAAAAATTTATGTAAAATTGTTCTTACTGCTGGCTAATCAAATAAAAACTGTATTGTGAAATAATTATATTACAATACACTTGACGAGAATCTCCTAAACCAGTCCTGCGGTACAATATACAGACGTACAAACATATCCAACATTTCAAAGATAGGTTGCCAGGCAACGAAACATACGCCCACAGCAACTAAATCGTCCGGGCAGTCAACAAGGGTTGTCGCATATTTTTACTTTTTTCGGTAATGAAACATTTATAATACACTAAAATCTTATCAAGAGCAACAACTCACGAAGTAATTATCAGAAAACTATTAGAATTTGTTTGGTTTTTATAAAGTTCTGCCCCATGCTAACGTTTTGTATGCAAAGCTTTTAATATCATGGATTTAACTTGTTCGTCTCAAGATCTTAAACTCTGTGTATCAATCTGAAGTCAATCGGATTATAACTTTAGCCTTTAGAGCATCACAAGATTTTGCAAAGTGATCAAGGGCCATAACTTTAACAGTAATTATCGGAAATCGTTGAAAATCAATAGGAATCTTCGTCTCATGACCTCAAACACTGTGTATAAATTTAAACTCAATCGGATATTAACTTTAGCCTCTAGAGCATCCATAAGATTCTTTGAAGTGATCAAGGGCCATAACTCTGGCAGTAATTATCGGAAATCGCTGAAAATCAATAGGCTTCTTTGTCTCATGACCTTAAACACTGTGTATAAATTGAAAGTCAATCGGATATTAACTTTGGCCTCTAGAGCATCCACAAGATTTTTCAAAGTGATCAAGGGCCATAACTCTGGCAGCAAATATTGGAAATCGCTGAAAATCAATAGGCTTCTTCGTCTAATGACCTTAAACACTGTGTATAAATTTAAAGTCAATCGAATATTAACTTTTGCTTCTAGAGCGTCCACAAGATTTTTTGAAGTGATCAAGGGCATAACTCTGGCAGTAATTACCGGAAATCGTTGAAAATCAATAGGCTTCTTCGTCTCATGATCTCAAACACTGTGTATAAATTTAAGGTCAATTGGATATTAACTTTGGCCTCTAGAGCGTCCACAAGATTTTTCAAAGTGATCAAGGGCCATAACTCTGGCAGTAATTATCAGAAATCGCTGAAAATCAATAGGATTCTTTGTCTCAAGACCTTAAACACTGTGTATAAATTTAAAGTCAATCAGATATTAACTTTAGCCTCTAGAGCGTCCACAAGCAATTGTGGACGCCGGACCGACGGACGGACGGACGGACAGGGGCGACGACAATATACGACCACATTTCAATGTGGGCGTATAAAAAGTGTTTGTAATATTGAATATGAATATGGGCCCTTATTTTTAAATGCATGTAGATACATCTTCAGATGTGCGAAACACCTACAAGTTAAATTTCCAATTTTCCCTTTTTATAAAATGAAAGTCAATGACATTGCGAAAAGAAAATTAATGAAGAACCATTTTATTAAAAAATACGTTCCTCGACTTAATAGTAAATAAGCAACAATTGACCATTAATTTCATTTAATTAATTTTCTGAATCTATCCCTTTATTATCTTCCATTGATTGTTTCTAAATTGTATTGTACCAATATACAACAGATTAACACACGTGTATACATGTTTTCTGTTCGTTACCTATATACTATGTAACCATAGACAACGGTAACTATAGCCAATTAAAACCAGAGTGTAACTATGTAAATATGTATAAATATACTACATGTATACTGTCCATCTTTATACAATGACATTATTTATGAATAGTCCCAAGACCCACGAAAAGTACTTTAAAATGTTAAAATGTTATTAAACCAGTGTTGAAATCCATTTGTGTCGGCATACCTTTTATCTTTTCATCGTGAAACAAAGTAGTGCAGCTTTGTGGTTGTGCTAATAATTTTGGATATACATGTATATATACATATACATATATTTCAATAATTCGCTTGGACATACATGTAGGGTTCTTTACACTGTAACCCAGGTATTATTTAATCTTGTGTATCTAGTACTAATTTCTTTCACATATGTTTAAAAACGTTTAAAATCACCATAAATCATTTAATTTGTACTCGTGTCCAGTTTAAAGCTGACCATTCAATTTTGATAATGAGTGTCCAATTTACAAGTGTTTAATTTCTCAATCACTGTTGAAAAATAAACAACTCAATTGATTAATGATGTATAATAATTAATGTTTGGACAGTGGTCAGGAAATTAAATACTTGTAAATTGGATACTCATTATCAAAATTAATCAGTCAGCTTTAAACTGGACACAAGTACAAATTAGATGATTTTTGGTGATTTTAAACAATTTCTACGAATTTTTAAAGAAAGATTTGATATTAAACAAATGTGAAAAAAATTAGTGCTAGATACACAAGATTAAATGATACCTGGGTTACAGTGTTAGCAGTGGGAGGAAACCAGAGGACCCAGATAAAACCCAGGAGGTTGGACAGGCAACCCTACTCCTTGTCATGTACGACCGGAAAATTGAAACCACGTCAGTTGACTCAATGACAGACCTTAAGATAAAACGCTCACGCACTATCCATTCGGCCATTCAACCCCCTAATTAGTTGAATCTAATGCTATTTTGGGTATGATTTCAATAATAACATTTATAATAATATTAATTTTCTTGGTGAGACTGAAGATGTGTTTATAATTATGCAGGGGGGAATATCTCCAAGTACTATATATTGAGATATATCAATTGTTAGATTTATATATTTCAATAATTCGCTTCCGCGTAGGGCCATTAGCTAAGGAGGAAAGTGGCGGATCCGGGAGAAACCCCAGAGGCCGGTTGCTCAAGGCTCTGTTAACTTTTAATGACTCGTTAACATGGAGTTATCGTGATCTATAACAGAGAAAAAGTCTGTTGATGGAAGTCCTGTTAACTTGCTGTTACATGTACATTTAACAGCAGTGTTAGGCTCCATTATCTGTTTAACGATGGCATTAGTGAGCTGTCAGTCGAAGTATACCCTTAACAAATAGTCATAGATTACCAGTGTAAATCCCATAATTTTTACTACTATTCTATAGTGGTTTCTGTAGTAAATTCTACAGTTATCTTTTTGTCTTTAATCAAGTTTTGTGAACAGATTGCACAGTTGTCCCACTGTCTTCGGTTTCTTGTCAATACTAACTTCTATAAGCTCGAGGTTGTTATACATGTACATTGAATTAGAATAATTAAAATTCAGCCTTGGATTAACTTTAATCTGTCCATTAGCTAACGGATAATGAAATTTAACAGAACATTAACAAGTGGGCTGCGGAATTTAAGCGTGACAGAGAGAGCCTTGACGATGATGACCCACGCCCTGGAAGGCCATCAACAGCAACCATTCAAGAAAACATTACCCAAGTGCATGACATGGTGTTCGACATATTGCCAGTGTTGTGCACATCTCTCATGAGAGGAGCACGTTATTGCCGAGTTAGGAATGACGAAAGTTTCGATTCCGCGATTGTACGTGACAAGGAGTAGGCTCGCATGTCCAGCCTCGTGGGTTTTCTCCGGGTCCTCCGGTTTCCTCCCACTGCTAAAGACCCCTACGCACAAGCGAATTATTGAAATAAAATTGAACCATATGTTAGTCCCAAAATGACCTAGTTTGTGTCAGTGGATGTTAAACTCTCTCTCTCCCTCTCTCTCTCTCTCCCTCTCCCTCAAGTGTACTCTAGTTATATCCAGGTCAATAGAATATTGTGTCTCTTGACACCATAATTTACTCATTATTAGATCAATAAACTAAAGATGAGAAACTGAAATTCCATCCAGACTAAATAATCACCTTATATATCTTTGTCACGCCATCTATATAGACAATAGAATCACATCATTATAGACTAACATCATAACGTTGGTTTGGTGTTAAAAGGTCGTATCTGGGTATTGAAAAATTGTCCGAGGTTAAGAATCAAAACGTCATGTCAAAATGTCATATGTAAAATGTCGTATTTGTGAAGATTTTCTCAAATATTTCTGTACAAAATGTTTGTGTATGTAACTATCCGCACATACATGTATCAAGAAAGCTAAACCTCTAGTGCAGAAATAAGAAGTGAAAGCTAGTTATTTGCAATTTTATACAGCAAAGACGTATCTCTGGAAAAAATTCTTGTTTACCTGCTTCAGTTTCATAGATTTCACACAGTAGAGGCTCAACAATAATTTCAATAATATGTATTCAACCATAAAACAATACTAGCTATATTTCGTTTGATTGTAATGCTTTGGTTAGACGCAAAGTTGTTTTTTTTTTCAAGGAAATGTGACATTTTCGCTCTTAATGTTTTTTTTTGTTTTTTTGGAACACCCCATATTTGATGTTTTGAAACAAAATATATAAAACCTCTTTTTATTGGCTTAGAAATACAACAACCAGATGAAAAGATGCACAAGAAAATTCCCAAAAGTGAATTTCATAAATCATGCCAGATACAACCTTTTGACTGCCCACCAACCATAAGTAACATATTATAGTCTATATACACAATGAGAGAGAGAGATGTATGTAACATATTATAGTCTATATACACAATGAAAGAGAGAGATGTATTTAAGATAAATCATGCCAGATACAACCTTTTGACTGCCCATCAACCATAAGTAAGATATTATAGTCTATATACACAATGAGAGAGGGAGATGTTTGTAAGATAAATCATGCCAGATACAACCTTTTGACTCCCCACCAACCATAAGTAACATATTATAGTCTATATACACAATGAGAGAGTGAGATGTATGTAAGATAAATCATGAGGAAATTAATTAATGTAATTACCTCCTCTAAGACTTGACCCCAGTTATCCGTTCCCTGTGTATCTGGTCTCCAAGAATTTTGGGACATTTTCATTTTTTTCAGACCTAAAAAATTATATAATATAAATACAAGAGATAAGAGAGAAATAAGGTTTAAATTCCACTGAACACAAACTAGGTCATTTCGGGACTAACAGGTGGTTTAATTTTATTTCAATAATTCGTTTACGCATAGGGGTCTTTAGCAGTGGGAGGAAACCGGGGGGGACTCGGAGAAAACTCACAAAGTTGGACAGGCGACCCTACTCCTTGTCACATACAACCGGGGAATTGGAACCACGCCAGTTGACTCAATGACAGACTTTATGATACAGCACGCACGCGCTAACCATTCGGCCATCCAACCCACCAACCTGATATATAAATAGTAATTTGTAAAAGGTCAATTGTTTCTCTAGTGCAATCTCAAACTCCACAACACCAGCATGGAAATCCTAATTCGTAATAAATGTAGTTTAATGTCCTACTGTTCTGCTCCGAATGGGATAATTAAGACGTGCATACAGTGTGCTATAGCATGAACGAAAATTTGCTGGGACAGCGGCGCTGCTGCCTACTCATATATCGAATTCCAACTGCCAAGGGATCATATGTGCCCTTAATGCCCATCTTCCAACAGTGGCAAAGTGAGTAAGACGCTGGCTAGCTCCAAGGGATCATATGTGCCCTTAATGCACATCTTCCAACAGTGGCAAAGTGAGTAAGACGCTGGCTAGCTCCAAGGGATCATATGTGCCCTTAATGCACATCTTCCAACAGTGACAAAGTGAGTAAGACGCTGGCTAGCTAACCTGTAGGTTCCGTCCAACCTCGTGGGTTTTGTCCGGGTCCTCTGGTTTCCTCCCACTGCTAAAGACCCCTATGCGCAAGCGAATTATTGAATTAAAATTAAACCATATGTTAGTCCCGAAATGACCTAGTTTGTGTCAAGTGGACGTTAAACCCCATTTCTCTCTCTCTGTAGGTTCCGTGTTTGATCCCTGAGTTGGCTGAGGATGTTTATCAGGATTCTCTGCTGTGGTCCCCCTTTGTCAGAGGTGCAAGACTGAGGGCCTGGCTAGGGACAATGTGTAGTCATTTGGATGGGACAAAAAAAAAGAGGTCCCATGTACACATTGGCGTGCACGTAAAGATCCCTAGGCAGTTGGAATCCAGTGTATAGCACACTGTATGGCGTATGCCCGTCTTCATTAGTCCAGGTTAGGAGCAGAACAGTAGGACGTTAAACCCCATTTCATTTTCATTTCATTTCTTGTCCGTCTCAGGTTTTGTTATTTTCATTTTTTTTATTGTTCATCCAGCGCAAGGTTTTAATGTCAATTATATCAACCATTCTTGCTGTTACCTTTATAGGCCTGATGAACTCTACAAACAACACAATAGGCTACTTACTGACATTGTATTTTTGATTTTAGGCCTGATGAACTGTACAAACTTGCATAAAAGGCCACTGACCGAAATGTATTTCTAATTTTAAGCCTGATGATTTCTAAAAACACCACAAAAGGCTACTTACTGATATTGTATTTTTTTCATTTTAGGCCCGAAGAACTGTATAAACCACATAAAAGGCTACTTACCAAAATGTATTTTTAAATGAGCCACTGTTAGACGAAGAATACTGGATTTGTCAAGTTTTTTCTGACAGGAGGCAATAATAGGAACTTCTTTCGCTAACTCTTGTATCAGCGCGTTGAGTCGATCTCTCCGAATCTTTTCACATACATTCCGTGACAATCTGAAAATACAACATCCACATTTCTTTAAAAAAGGAAGATAAAGAGCATATTGTTCCAGACTAATATGTATGGGGAAAAAACCTGGACGATTCTACAGAGAGAGAGAGAGAGAGAGAGAGAGAGAGAGAGATGGGGTTTAAAATCTACTTGACACAAACTAGGTAATTTCGGGACTATTAAATTTATTTCAATAATTTGCTTGCGCGTAGGAGTCTTTAGCAGTGGGAGGAAACCAGAGGATCCGGAGAAAACCCACGAGGTTGGACAGGCAACCCTACTCCTTGCCACGTACAACCGGGGATTCGAAACCACGGCAGTTACATCATTAACAGACCTTATGATACAGCGCACACATGATATCCATTCGGCCATCCCCCTCCCCCTCCACCCCTTTCAAGTACTGAAGTTAAATGTCTAAATTAATATACCAGGGCCCTGATTCACGAAATTTTAACTTAAGATAAAATCCAAATTTTAGTAGATACATGTACCTCAATTTTGATTGGCTGAGCACTAAAATCAATCTAATATTATCCAATCAAATTACTAAAATTTGGATTTTATCTCAGTTAAGTTTTCGTGAATAAGGGCCCCGTTACGTTTAGAATAAATATACACTGAATATTGTATATATACACTAATAACAATTTGAGGACTTATTGACAGTTTAAATGGCGTGAGACACTTCCTGGTTTCTATCCAATAATAAGTTAACATATGAACTTTAATGTTCAATTAAAGTTGTGATGCCCCATTATAGCGCCTTATCACTCAATAATACATTCTACTATATATCGCTTGTGTGATAAATTTCATAATCTACTGCGATATCTCCTTACATGAATTTGATTGGTCAATCAAAAAAGAACTACTTTTTTTTTTCAAAAAACAGTTCATTTTTTATTAAAAGTAACTTCTTTCTTATTAAAAAGGAATTATTTTTTATTTAATTGGCGTTGATTCATATTACATTATTATATGTGTTGCGACCCATTTGTGTCAAATTCTATATCCCAAATATTAGCGATTTAGCTCCTTTAAGTCATGGGAAATTTGATACAAATGGCACATTGTTATTTTTACTCTCTACATTGAAGCACCTGTACTATTTATCAGTCACTCAAATCTACTAATTAAAATTCTGTTTGAAAATTTCGTTCAAATTACTCTATTCTGAGCGACTTTATAACTTCAAGTTTTGACATAGATTGTTTCTTATTGCAGAAATTTTTTTTGTTAATTGTGACTCAGTCTCGCTTCTCCATTTTTAAATTAAATCATTAAATGGCAATCGTATTTTAATCCATTTACATCTGCGTCTTCCAATAACCCTAGAGAGTTGATCATAGGCTTAAAGTTAAAGGGACTTTCCCGATTTGAACAAAGTCTCATAAATAAAAGGCTGTCGATGTATGAAATTTAAGTGCCAAAATACAGGGGAAAGGTGTATTTACCTTGTCTCAAAATTTCATCTCAAAATATTGATTCGTTTGAATGTGAACATCAAAACCGCTTATCCAGACACATAACCCTTTTAGGATTTCGTGTCAATTTTTTCATTGTGTGACCTGATAATCTATTGCCGTTCCTTTGGGGGTCAAAACAGTGCATGATCCAAGTGATGTACTTGATAACAAATGGTAAATTCCACCTACACGTTATTTTTATAAAATAAAAGTCTGGTTTTATACAGACACTGTATAATACCCTTGGGACAACGGTCTCCATTTTCAGACGAAGACTGACAGGTTTAAGTTGTTTGAAAACAGGGTATCATGTACATGTATATTGAGTTCGTTGCTTGACTCTAAGGTAGAGGATCTAAAATACATGTATAATCAAGATTGGCCCTTTATAAAGTGTTATGTGAATAAATGTCTAAATAAAAGTTTATATAACATTTGAAGTCAAAATAAAAACCTACATGTATACAATGTATAAATAGGTAGATTTAGCTCTAACATAATGCATCTTTAATCATATTCTTACGACATTAATTATACATTTCAAGAGAAAGCGAGGGAAGTGGGGTTAACGTCCACTCGACACAAACTAGGTAAATTCAGGACTAACATAAGGTTCTATTTTATTTCAATAATTCGCTTGCGCGTAGGGGTCTTTAGAAGTGGGAGGAAACCAGACGACCTGGAGAAAGCCCACGAAGTTGGACAGTCGACCCTACTTCTTGTCACGTACAACCATGCTAACCTATTGGCCATCCAACCCCCCCCCCCTACATTTCAAGCACATGTATGTATCGTTGTTATGTATCGTAAAATATAAAATTTAAGTCGTGCCATGTTTTCATATTACTTTTATCATTACACTCATTTAACTTGTCGATCTTTGATAGACGTGTATTCGATTTCACATATATATTATTACATTTGACTTTCAGGGATTGTAGCTCGTCCACATATCTTCTGTAAGTATCAGAAATGAAAACAGATTCTTGGAATGGATACTCAACACTTTATTTCTGGAGCCAATTATAATAATTATATTATAATGTCATAATGGTTCCTTAAGCTGGTCTCTCGAATTACTAATGCTTTATTTAATTGTTGTTGGTGTTTATTACAAATTACAACGTTCAATATACATTACATTATGTACAGGTTGTTTTAATTAAGTTATTTACATCTGAGAGAGAGAGAGAGAGAGAGAGAGAGTTTAACTCCACTCAATGCAAACTATGTCATTTCGGAACTAACATATGGTTCAATTTTATTTTAATAATTCATTTGCGCGTAGGACCCGGAGAAAACTACTGAGTTTGGACAGGCGACCCTACTCCTTGTCACGACCCTACTCCTTGTCACGTACAAACGGGAAATCGAAATATTCACATCTGAATGAGTAATAGTTTAACATAAATTTGTCTTTTGAATCAAATTAGTTACTAAGAAAGTGTTGACATGAACATATAATTATTTAAGGATTAAAGGAGCTAATTCGCTAATATTTGGGACCTAGAAATTGACACAAATGGGTCGCAATTAACACATATAATAATGTTATATGAATGTATATTAACTGATTTACATTCAATCATTTCTGTTTTTACTGTAATTTCTAATCAGTTATGTTCGGCGTAATACGCCAGACGTCTCAATTGAATGGCAGTCTCTAGCGTCTGATTATTCCAGTCTACACCGATAGTATTTATTGCGCATGCTCCTCAGATAAGAATATGATGTGACCGTTTGACATGACATGTGGAATATATTTAGCCTGAAACGCATTATGGTACACGAATCGTGTACCAATGATAAAATGTTTATTTTGTCTTAAATATTGGATATCAGACCCCCATCTTTTCCCGGTAAGATCACAACATCAATGTTGATTTAAATTGACAAATAATTTGTGTTTTCAATGTTGAAGACTTTGGGTGATACTAAGTTAGAGACTTACATGTAGCTACTTTATGTCTTAAGACGGTTAGTGCTAAATAATAAGGCCAGCTCAATTTTTCTTCATCGGTCACAAGATGTAAACAAGGCTAGCGCTAATCCCAAACCTTATCCTAAGCCTGGACTTAGCCCCAATCCTTAACCTAAGCCTAACCTATAATCTCGCTAACAATCACGTGCCCTAACATTACATGTATTTACATCTCAGCGACCGGGACAAAAATTGAGCTGGCCTTAACAAATAGATTTAGCCGTCTTAAGACAGTATATAAAACAATACATAGTTAAAGAAACATACGTCCCAGATAAATCAATTTACTTGCCAGCCTGTCATAATTGAAATTAACAGGTTAATTGCATGTACTGTCAGTCTCTAATGGCTAACCAAGCATAAAAAATGGAATCTATGAACAGAATATGATTCATAACTACTACATAAATATCAAAATATAGATTTGGAATTGAAAACAGAATAAAAAATAATAAATTAACAAATGACCTAGACATTGGTCATATCATAACCCATTTATAAATGTGGGTTAAAGGAGGTAGGTCTCTTAACTCTTTATCATCCACAGTCTTCGACATAGCAAACATGACTTATTGGTCAATTTAAATCAACATTGATTTTGATATCTTAAAGGACACTATATTGGTGTCGGTCATTATCATAGATGTGATAGAACTGGTTAAACACATTCCAAGTATAATTTTATCACAATGATCATTGCTACTACAATAGATGTGTAATAGATTATAAATACTTTTCTGGGAACGTAACTTTAAAGGAAACACTGGGTCACTATATAGGACTTTGCAACGGTTGACTTGCTGTTAAAAAATGATGTATCAGGTTTACGACAATTAAATCTATAGCAGAGAATTATATTTATTTATTTGTGCATGTAAAAAAGGGTTGTGTGATAAATAAAATCTCCTACTTGTCTTCTTTTATATCAAAAAAATATCAACACTCATCGATAAAATAAAAGTCTTGTGTTGATATTTTTTGATATGAAAAAAGACGAGTAGTAGATTCTCTATACAACAGAGATCCACTCGACACATACTAGGTCATTTTGGGACTAGCATGGTTCAATTTTATTTCAATAATTTGCTTGCGTGTAGGGGTCTTAGCAGTAGGATGAAACCGGAGGACCCGGAGAAAACCCATGAGGTTGGACAGGTGACACTACTCCTTGTCACGTACAACCGGGAAACGAAACCATGCCAGTTGACGCAATGTCAAATCTTAATATGATACAAAGCGCACACGCTAACCATTCAGCCATCCACCCCCAGTGCGTTTAAAGTACATGTAGCTACATGTAAGTCTCTAACTCAATATCATTCAAAATCTTTGACATTGCAAACACGAATTCTTTGTCAATTTAAATCAACATTGATGTTGTGATCTTAACAGGAAAATATGGGCTTCTGATATCCAATATTTAATACAAAATAAAGATTTTACCATCGGTACACGAATCATATACCAGACTGCGTTTCAGCACCATTTGTATCATGGGACTCGAAGAACGAGGCTAGACATATTCCACAAGTCATGTCAGTGACACCATATT